CTTGGGTTTGTGAGTTTGAGCCCCACATTGAGTGTAGAGATTACTTAAAAATAAAATCTTTTTTTTTAAGATTTCATTTATTTATTTGACAGAGAGCGAGAGAGCAAAAGCAGGGGGAACAGTAGAGGGAGAGGGAGAAGCAAGCTCCCCGCCAAGCAGGGAGCCCAATGCGGGGCTTGATCCCAGGATCCTGGGATCATGACCTGAGCCGAAGGCAGACACTTAACCATCTGAGCCACCCAGACACCCCAAAAATAAAATCTTTAAAGAAAGAAAGAAAGAAAGAAAATTTCCCTAAAAAGTTAGCAAAAGAGAGATGAAAAACAAATGCAATGTATGCTTCTTGATTGGATCCTAGTTTGAACAAACTATTGTGAAAGACAGCTAGAAACAGAAAAGCTATGTGGTTTTCACTAAAACAGGGCTCTACTTAGTTCCACTGATTTGGGTTTAATCATATTATAGAAAGCTGATCAAGCACATGCTATTCTCTCCTTTTGGAATACACTTGTCCTATATTCTGCTTAGAAACTTCTATTCTTCCTTCAAGACCAAGCTTAGGTTACTTTTTTGGTGAACCTTTACGTATTACCCCTCTTTCCTCAGCACCCCCTCCTCCACCAAAATAAAAGAGTATATCACTTCCTCTTCTGGGTTCCCACAATCGTCTGTTTATTATATCTATTCTCACATTTCATTATAATTATCTGCTTATAACTGCTTATAACTGTTTTTCTTCTTTCCCATCTGCTTGCCTTCCTCTCTAAATTATGAGTTACTCAAAAGCAGGTAACCATTTTTTATTCACTTATATATTTGTAGTCCCTGGTAATTCAAAACATGGGTAGAAATGTAACATATAAAATCTAACATCCATTCAGTAGAACTGTACAGTGTAGAAAGGAGAAAAACATAAACCAGAGGAAAAGTTGAAAAGGAAAAAATGAAGGCCTACATCATATACTGGGCCACAGTTTCGAGATCACTTTACTTAACGGGGGGACATCAGGTAGTAGAAGTAAGACCCCAAAAGAGCTAAATCATGAGATATCTTTCAACTTCCATGGTTCTTTCTGGACCTAACTTCCTCTCTGACAGCAAGCTCTCACTCTCCAGTGTCCAACAAAGAGAGGAAAGCAAGTAATAAATTAATTCGCTCAGATTTCAATTTAATGAATTACCTGTTCCAAGAGTTTTTCAGAGCAAATCTGAAAGAGGACCAGTGGTAAATCCAAAGGATTCAAACTACTGATGAGATAGCTAATCAATATATGGAGATCTCTTGAATGGATTTTCCTCAAATTAAACTACATTAGCAGTTATCTATGTCACACTGTACATAAGCGTATTCCTAAATAGAAGCTATTTTTACATTTAGCATTTGGCAAATCGTTCCTCTGTCATAATTTAAAAACTCATTGTAGCCTCCACCAGGTGGTTTTTTCCCATTATACTCTACCTGGGCTTTAGTGTACTAATCCCTAAGGAAGTCTGAGTAGATGCGCTTTTTTTGGAACCTGTGAATATTGCTGACAAGAATTATCCACACACATATTCCAAAAAGAATTACCAGTTTGGAGAATTGAGCACTACCCCCATAATACTGGAGACTCCCTAGACTATTTCAGTGTTAGGATTGAAAAATCATTGCCTCTGGGACAAGAGCCACAGCTAAGACTAAAAGAAAAGAAGCTTTCAAGGCTTGGCCCTGTGAAAAGGATGCTACATCCCATCTGCATCTTTCCAACCAAACCTGTCCTTGAACATCATCAGAAACAGCAATGATACTAGTCTGAGCTCTGAAGGACAACAGTCTTGAGTACAGAGAGGTGGTATGGGGAATGAAAAAGGTATTTTATTTAAAATGTCATTCTTTCCTTCCTGACAGCCAACGCTCAGGAACCATGTAATCTGCATACTGTTGAGGTAACCATGTTGTCTCTATTGCAAAACCTAAAAACATCTAAAGAAACTTGGAATTTGGAATTTGGAAACCAGGAATTTGTAGAAGATCAGTTGTTAGTATGTGCATAATGGTTAAAGAATGCTGGCTGTAAGGTCAAAAACCTGAGTTTATATTCCAGCTCAGATGTTTTCTGAATATGACCTTGTGCAAGTATTTCCCCTTTTTCTGCCTCAGTTTTGTCATCTGTAAAAAAAAAAAAAAAAAAAAAAAAAAAGACAGTATCACCTTCCTTATAGCGTTAATAAGATTATATGAGATCTAAAGTATGTGACACAAGGCTAGCTCATAGTATATACCCAATAGATATCCATTACAATTAATGACCTTTGATTGTTCATAAGAACCTCAGTAATGCAATACTGAGCCAGATTCATGGCCTGCTCAGCATGGTATTTGTCTCTGATCCTGGCAGCAAGCGGCGTTTTGGGAGAGAAGAGAATGCTCTTTTTTGTTATTTCAAATGAATAAGGCTTTATCTGAAAATATCTTTAAGTTCTTTGACTACCTCTAAGAATAATGTATCACTCATGAATGTTATCTACATCATTTTTGACATATTTATATTGGCAACTGGTACTGATTTCTCTTACTTTTATGAAAATACTACTTTTAAAATGCAAAGAGATATCCCCTATTTTTTGTTTTTTAATTGAAGTATAGTTGACACTCTTTATTTCTTGTTTTCTAATTTTTTAAAGATTTTTTATGTATTTGAGAGAGAGAGCGAGAGAATGAGCGGGGGAGGGGCAGAAGGAGAGGGAGAAGCAGACTTCCCGCTGAGCAGGAAGCCTGATGCAGGGCTCCATCCCAGGATCCTGAGATCATGACCCGAGCTGAAATCAAGTCAGACGCCTAACTGACTGAGCCACCCAGGCACCTCCCTGTTTTCTATATTTTGTGAACAATTCTGTATTTATCTTATCCCTTAGTCTTGATTTCATAGTCTTGTTTCAGATTTTTTTCTATCAGCTTTAATTTCAGAGAATAAAAGCACCCTAAGCTTTTAGCAGTTGATTATCTAGTTTCTAATTTATCTAGTTCAATACATCATGGATATTTTAGAGTTCCTACTGCCAAAGTGCAAAATTGAAACATGCAAAATGTAAGATGGAGTTTCTGTTTTCAAAAAGCTTAGAGTCTTCTGGATATTCAGTCAATGAAAACTTTTTTTTTTAATTAATGACCTGCTATGACTGATGCAGCTATATCTAGAAAGTCAAAGCATTGGCTCTGGAGCCAAACTACTAGGGTTCAAATTCTGGTTGTGCCACTTAGAGGATGGCCTTGGGCAAGTTGCTTAAGTTCTCTGTACTTCAGGTTTTTTATCTGTTAGCTGAGCTAACAGTATTACCTGGGGTTGTTGTAAGGATAAAGAAGTTGTTCCAAGTTAAGCACTTAGAACAGAGGCTGAGTGGCAAATAGTAAGCACTCAATAATTTGAGGTAGACACTAGAGCTGTTCACAAATATTCCTATTCTCTCTTGCAGACATGTGGGATGCATACATAGTAGGATCACATTCCCCCCCTTTTTAATTTATTTTAATTTATTTTTATTTTTTTTAAAGATTTTATTTATTTCTTTATTTACGTGAGAGAGCGAGCGAGCACAAGCAGGGGGACAGGCAGAGGGATAGGGAGAAGCAGGCTCCCTGCTGAGCAGGGAGCCCGACACAGGACTCGATCCCAGGACCCTGGGATCATGACCTGAGCCGAAGACAGACACTTAACCGACTGAGCCACCCAGGCGCCCCACCCCCTTTTTTTTAAGATTTATTTATTTGAGAGAGAGGCAGGAGAGAGGGGGAGGGGGCCAGGGGAGAGGGAGAAGCAGGCTCCCTGCTGAATGGGGAGCCCAACACGGGGCTTGATCTCAGGACCCTGGGATCATGATCTGAGGGGAAGGCAGATGCTTAACTGACTGAGCCACCCAGGCACCCCTTTTCTCCCCCTTTTAAGTTAGGCATGGGCCATGTGCCTGCCTCTGGCCAATGAAAGGTGAGAAGTGACATGTGTCATTTCCGCATAGAACCTTAAAAATCAATACATAATCAGGGCATCTGGGTGGCTTAGTCAGTTAAGTGTGGTTAAGTGTCTGACTCAGTCTCAGCTCAGGTCTTGATCTCAGGGTCATGAATTCAAGCCCCACGTTGGGCTCTGCTGTGTGTGGAGCCCACTTAAAATCAGTACATAATTTGCCAAGTTAATTTCCCTCTGCTGTGGTGATTAAACAAGCATGTGCTGAGATGGTGCCCCTGATACTAAGATGTGTAACTAAGTATCACGTATCTTGTGACTAAAATGAACAGAGCCTCTTGCTAATCTACAAGGGACCAGTAACTTGAATGAGCCAGACTTTATGTTGTGTTAAAGAAGTAAGACTTTGGGGTTGTTAGGGGCGCCTGGGTGGCTCAGTTGTTAAGCATCTGCCTTCGGCTCGGGTCATGATCCTGGAGTCCCGGGATCGAGTCCCGCATCGGGCTCCCTGCTCAGCGGGAAGCCTGCTACTTCCTCTCCCACTCCCCCTGCTTGTGTTCCTGCTCTCGCTATCTCTCTGTCAAATAAATAAATAAATAAAATCTTAGGGGAAAAAAAAAAAAAGACTTTGGGATTGTTTGTTAGTGCAGCTTAACCTAAGCTATCTTGACCATACACTATCATTCCGGGCACTAGGGATACATCAGTGAATCAAACTGACAAAATGCACGCCCTCGTGGAGTCTCTCAGAACTCGAATACAATATCCAAACTATTCTATGCAAACAAACTATTAAGAATCCAAAATGACTGGGGCACCTGGGTGGTTCAGTCGGTTAAGCATCTGCCTTTGGCTCTGGTCATGATCCCAGGGCCCTGGGATGGAGCCCCACATCGGGCTCCCTGCTCAGCAGGGAGTCTGCTTCTCCCTCTACCTGCCGCTCCCCCTGCTCATGCTCTCTCTCTCTCTGACGTATAAAAAAATAAAATAAAATAAAGATGAATAAAAAGAAACCAAAATGATGGATAAGAGATTACTACCTCTTTCTTCCTTCCACAGTGAGAGTTTTGAAAGGCTGCCAATGAACCAAAATAGAAAAAAACATGCTAGAGAAGAAAAGAAGCATCCATAATACGGTCTCATCTTACCTAACTCTCACCACCAAAATGCAGGACTCAGGTCAACAACACAGGGATCATCTCATACAAGCACAAAAGAAGCATGAAAAATACTGACCCTGAGCATTAGGTGAGAATTTACTCTGGTCTCCCACTGCTATGTGATCAAGTGTCAAGTTTCCAGGGTCCCTCAACACTTGGAATAAGGAAAGAGGATCTCTCCCTCTGAGAGGTAAACTATATGATGTATCTGAACATCCGTTTATTCCTTTATTCATTCTTCCAATTGACAACTAGTTATTGACCATCTACTATGTGTCAGGCAATATGATACACAGTGACCCAGGGATGTAAAGACAGACATGATCTCATGGAGCTTACATTTACTATGAGAGATACACAATAATAAGTCATTAAACAGATCAATATTATAATGCCAATACTGGTAAGTGCTTTGAAGCCAACAGATGTGATGAGTGTGACACAGGAATGATACTTTAGATTGGGGGGTCATATGAGGCATCCCTGTGGAGGTGGTGCTGAATTTGGAAACATGACTGATAAAAAGGAATCAGCCCTCTGAAGATCTGGAGGAAGAGTGTTCCAGATAGGATGGCAAGTACAAAGGCCCTGAGGCAGGAAAGAAGAGCATAAAGAGCTCTGGGAAAAGTGGGAGAGAAGTCAGAGAGATAAAGGGATTTTCATGGAGGCTCTTATAGGCAATAAGGAATTTGGAAGTTAATGGAGATTTTGATACAGAAGAGTGATATAACTTAATTTACAATTTATGTTTAAAAAGATCATCCCAACTGCTTGATGGAGGAATAAGTTTAGAGGCAATTTCAATAGTCTAGATAAGGGATTGAGTAAGTGACATAAGTAAAAGGAGTAAGAAAGATCATGGCTGGATGTATTTTGGATGAGGAGTGAGGAGGTTCAGAACACACTCCCCCAAAATATAGCACCTTGGTATACTGAATATTTTGAGCTGAAAGAATTTGAGAAAACAGCAGATGCAGGAAACTCTGACCTTTCTCCACCCTGCTCCCTTGAAGCAGGTCCTAGAACCCCATGGGAGAGGTGCCCTCCCTATACCCAAGACAAGGACAGTAAAAGGAATCCAAATGAACAGCCCTTGCTAGTTTTCCCTAGTTTATTATCCTTAGTCATACCCCCTTTTTAGTACTATCCCATTTTTCCATGACTCTCTATTCTTCATGAAACTTAATATTAAACACACAGAGATTTACCTGTTTCTTCAAGTCTTCATTTCCTTATAAAGGCTTCCATGTCATGTAAAATTTATGTTAAATAAATTTGTAGGCTTTTTTCCTGTTAATCTGTCTTTGTCAGTTTCATTTCCAGACCCAGCCAGGGACCCTGAGAGGGTCAAGGGAAACTTTTTCCTCCTCTACACAAATCAAGGGGTACACTGATTGTTGGATGTGGGGAGTGAGAAAATTAAGGCTGATGGAAGATGATGTTATTTCCTAAAATAAGGAAAGCTAAGGAAAAGGAACAGATTTGGGGGTGAAGATCAGGAATTCTGTTTTCGGACATATTAAACTTGACAAACCTACTGGGCGATTTTCAAGAAGAATAAATGAGATAATGTATTTAAAACACCTAGTATATAATCAGTGCTCAAAAAAAGTTATTTTCTTTCCAAATTTACTAAATCTCCTAAATTCAAGTGCCCTGATATGAAAAGAGAAGATAATATCTATATTACAGATTCATAGTGAGCCTTAATAGGCTTAATATGTGTGAATAAAGGTTATCAATAATAACATGTATGTAGCTCTTACCATGTGCCAAGTACTGTTTTAAGTGTGTTACATTTATTAATGAATTTAATCCTCCCCCAAACTCTAAGGAAGGTGCTGTTATCTCCATTTTACAAAATGAGGAATGAAGGCACAGACTAGAAGGTAAATAACTGGACCAAGTCTACACAGGTAGAGAGCAAAAACTGAATAAAAATGTATTATTAAAAAATGTATTATTAAATGTCCAATGTATATTGCAGATAATAAATTTCGAAACAGAAGAAATGTTGAATATTTAACAAATAGTTATTGACCATCTCATCTGTGCCAGGCAATGTTCTAGGAACCAGGGATACAGCAATGAACAAAACTGACCAAAAGTCCTGCCTCATGATCTAGCCAAGAAAAAACTCAGAGAGGGCGCCTGGGTGGCTCAGATGGTTAAGCGTCTGCCTTCGGCTCAGGTCATGACCCCAGGGTCCTGGGATCGAGTCCCACATCGGGCTCCCTGCTAGGCGGGGAGCCTGCTTCTCCCTCTGCCTCTGCCCCTCTCTCTCTCTGACTCTGATGAATAAATAAATAAAACATTTAAAAAAAAAAAAAAGAAAAAAGAAAAACTCAGAGAAAGAATGATGGGCTTAGGGGCACCTGGGTGGCTCAGATGGTTAAGCGTCTGCCTTCGGCTTGGGTCATGATCCCAGGGTCCTGGGATCGAGCCCCACGTCGGGCTCCTGGCTCGGTAGAGAGCCTGCTTCTTCCTCTCCCTCTGCCTCTCCCCCTGCTTGTGCTCTCTCTGTATCTCTGTGTCTCAAATGAATAAATAAAATCTTAAAAAAAAAAAAAAAAGAATGATGGGCTTAGCCAAAAACGTGTTGGCTCTGAATACAGCAGTGGGGAAAGCGGGGATCAGTTGGCAAACTCTTGCAGCCCCTTGAACAAACAGCCTGTGACCTGTTTCTGTTCAAGCCAAGATGTTTTTACCTTTTTTTTTTTTTAAGTAAACCCTGCGCCTATCATGGGGTTCAAACTCACAACCCGAGATCAAGAGTGACATGTTCTCCTGACTGAGCTAGCCAGGTGCCCCTGTTTTGACATGTTTTAAGAGGAGAGAGAGGAAGAGAGGAAGAGGAGGATTATAAATATGAGGATCTGAACAACCTCGAAGGAGGAGGACATGTTCACCATGAGCAACAGGCCAGGTTGTAACAGGTGCCTTTGTTGCCTGTTCAGGAAGCCTCATGGAGCCTGGGATGGCTGGAGAGCCCATACTCACTGGGAGGAGTGGTAAAAAGACAAGGACAAAGACCGGCAAGAGGTTAAGAGGTGAAGGCTGCTGGATTTGACAGATTTGTTTTTCTCTGTAGATGATGGGATGGCATTGAAGGAGAGTGAATTCCTAGGAAATTCCCTTCTGGATAGTTGCTTCTCACACTTAAAAAATATGTGTTTAATCTTAGAAGAGTTTAAAGAAATGTTTTTTTTTTGTTTTTTTTTTTTTTTAAAGAAATGTTTTGATGCCCACAACAAGAGCAGAATTCTTCCAAAAGTAACTCTTAAAGAAAATGTCAGCCTTTTTATAAAAGCTCTGCCCAAGCAACCTTAGAAACTCTTTCTTTTAGGAGATGAACCATATCAAACACAGAGATCTCCCAGTGCACTTTAAGCTCATCTTTGCTGGAAGGGAAATCTCATTTTTATTCAATGCAAGCTCTGGCCTAATTTTTTTGTTGCTGTTACCTTCATTTTTTTTTCCTTAGGGGAGAGAATGGAATTTTATTTGTATATTTGCAAATTATATTCTGAAGTGTAATTGCAAAATGTGTCTCAAAATAAATAAGGAATCTGGTCGAACATGGAACCGGGAGGGCTGGGGCCCAGAGGTATAAAGGACTGGTTTGCTTAGGGACTTTATTACCGTGACGGCTAGAACAAAGGCAGGATGGGAACCTGAACCGGCTGAAAGTTAAATAACAAGACAGACATGTACAGTAAAATGAGAAAAACTTTGAGAATGGAAAAGGATGTCTAAAGAGTTGACCTTAGAAAGAGGAGAGCACCCTAAAAAAAGGAGAGTAAACAGTTTATCTTTCAAGGAAGGAGGAACCGGTTCTAAAAAACAAAGCTGCCTGGCACTGAAATCATATAATTGAAGTGACTGAGTTAGCATGGATAAGTGACTATATGACATATAACAAAAGAAATCAGGAAAATTCTCCACAGAGAATTATTTTATAAAACCTCAGAAAAAGAGATTGTTAAGGCATTTGTACTCAGTCTGATTATATTTATTTCTCACTGAAACAATATTTTTAAAAAATGATTACCAATTTTTTTTAAAGATTTCTTTAATTATTGGGGGGGGGAAGGGGCAGAGAGAAAGAGTCTCAAGCAGACTATCTACTGAGTGGGGAGCCCAACTCAGGTCTCAGTCTCACAACCCTGAGATCATGACCTGAGCCAAAATCAAGAGTCTGATGCTTAACCGACTGAGCCACCCAGGCACCCCATCCTATTAATGTTGTGAAAATGGGTAATCATTGGGATGCCTGGGTGGCTCAGTCGGTTAAGCATCAGACTCTTGGTTTTGGCTCAGGTCACGGTCTCAGGGTTGTGAGACTGAGACCCGAGTTGGGCTCCTTGCTGGACATGGAGCCTCCTTAAGATTCTCTCTCTCCCTCTCCCTCTGTCCCTCCTCACCCCTCCCACTCCCCCGCACGTGTGCTCGCTCTCGCTCTCTCCCTCAATAAACAAACAACATTAATAGAAAACATTTCTATTCATTTGCTGTTGTAACATATTACCACATAATCTGTGGCATTAAGCAACACAGATTTATTCTCTTACAGTTCTGGAGGTCAGAAGTCCAAAATGGGTCTCACTGGGCTAAAATCAAGGTGTCAGGAGGAGTGCATTCCTTCTGGAGGCTTAGGAGAAAACCTGTTTCCTTGCCTTTTCCAGCTTCCAGAGGCTGTACACATTCCTTGGCTTCTGGCCCCTTCCACCTTCAGAACTAAGTCTTGTGCTGCAGCACTCTGCCTCCTTTTTCCACTTTGGAGGATTTTGTGATTACATTGGACCCACCCAGATAATCCAAAATAATCTCCCTCTTTTACTTATTTTGGCTTCTTTCTTTTCCTTTTTTGGGTTTCTTTATTTATTGGACACTTTGGGGTTTTTTTTTAATCTCCCTGTTTTAAAATCAGCTGATTAGCAAGCAATCTTAATTGCATCTGCAACTTTAATTCCTCTTTGCTGTGTAATGTAACGTATTCACAGGTTCCAGGGGTATCTTTGGGGGGCCGTTATTCTGCCTGCCACAACTATATTGTGCAAGATGGACATTCAATCTATCAACAGTGCTGAAATCTTAGATTTGTTCAGCACCTTTACACAGTCTTCTATATGCCTGAAAGGTAAATTTTGTACATAAAGAAGTCCAAATGAATTGGTACACCTTTTGGGAGGATTTTTGGCTTGAAGGCCTAGGAAACTTCACACACTTTTCAGATTCTGACAACTCAAAAAGAAAGATATATAACAACCATTGGAATAAATATACTGTGTCTTGTCGGGGAGAGTAACAATATCGTAAAATTATTACATTTTGTCACAACAATAAATGTTTACACCGCAGACAGAAAAAGCTAAGCATGTAATTTTTTTTTTTAAAGATTTTATTTATTTATCTGAGAGAGAGAATGGGAGACAGAGAGCATGAGAGGGAAGAGGGTCAGAGGGATAAGCAGACCCCCTTGCTGAGCAGGGAGCCCGATGTGGGACTCGATCCTGGGACTCCAGGATCATGACCTGAGCCGAAGGCAGTCGCTTAACCAACTGAGCCACCCAGGCACCCTAAGCATGTAATGTTTTAAAAGCATTTGATAAAGGAAATTAACTGTTTTAAATTTTATTTCAAGAGAATGAAAATAGTGGTAGTGAGGAAAAAGGCAGTTTGCTTCCAACTTTTACTCTAAAACAAAAAACATAAAACAAAACCAAAAAAACCCCACAAATAAATTTGCATAGTGATATTAACTGACAGAGGTACTTTAAGGAGAAAAAATAAAAGCACTTTTTTCACTAAATTGTATCCTTTTCTTACAGATGTGTTCCAAGCAAGCTATGCTTCTCTGGGCAAAACAGCCCCACCAAGTCTTGTCAACTTCTCCTTTGGGAGATGCAGAGACTGGAGGGAGGGGCGGGGGAGACGGGGGATGAGGCTAGACACCTGTCCCTAGTGGAAAAAGGAACACACCTGGAGAGCAACTCAGACAAAGGGAGCCAAGGGGGAAAAACAGTAATTGGAGAGGAGACTGCTTCCAATCTGTTGCTGGGTTTATAAGGTAAATCTATTCCTGGAGGAAAGGGATATAGTAGCTGCACACTAAAAACTGGGACAAGGCGTGTCTATGCCAAACTGTATCTTCTTCAAGAAGTTTTGAAGCCCAGTTTGAATCAAGTGACCTGCCTGAGATTGCCAGGTGTCCTGTGCACATCTCATTCATTCATTCATTCATTCACTCACTTAGTCATATTGAGCACCTAACAAGCTCTAAGCACTGTTGATAAAAAAGTAAACAAGGCATAATAGTACTTAGCACACTGCATTTATTTGCATTGGTTTTGGCTTTTTCTCTCCCACAGCAGCTTCTAGGAAGGGGCCCTATTTCATTTTTGCATCCTCAGTGCCTAGAACAAGTGCCTGGAACAGGTTAGGTGCTTAATGAACGAAAAAATGACTTTAAAGCATACTTTTCATAGGGGGCTATGTTCTCAAACCTGTAGCCCTATTTGGGGGGGACAAGGGATGACCGGTACACATGACGAGAACGGGCAAGGCATCTTTAATCGGAGTACCCACAGCAATCCAGTTTTCCTGTGGCTTCTAGTCCTCAAGTAAGTTAAAGTACGGGAGTCCAGGGAGGGATGGGGAAGGTCTGCCGCCTCCTCCCTCTTCCCGCATGCGGAGGGCTGAAATTGGGGGACCCGCGAAGGGAGTTCTCGCGAGCCCGCCTGTCCGCCCGCGCTCCTCACCAGGTCAATGGCCACGACGTCCCGCAGCGCCACGGCTCGCCGTATGGACTTGGGCGGGTTCTCGGTCAGGTAGATGAGCCGATCGCTGAGCACCACGTACTTGAAGGTGTGCTTCTCCGAGTCGGACACCACGATGCACGGCTCGTAGGCGCGGACGGCGTCGTAGACCTCGGGCGGCAGCTGCCTCCGCAGGAACGCGTCCAGACGGCTATTCGTGTGCGCAGGGAAGCCAGACCTTGCGGGGCCCGCCATGCGCGGCGCCCGCGCCCGGAGCGAGTGCCGGCGGCGGGGGGCGGACGCCTCTGCCCGGCCCCGCCTCCGCGCCGCCTGCGGTGGAACCCGCGCGCGCCACAAAGCCGCCCGCCCCGCCGCCACCACCTGCCCCGGGCGCAGGGAGCAGGGCCCCCAACGTCGGTGCCCGTCCAACGATGGACGGGGCGAGAGGCTGGTCTTTCGGTAAATCATCATCAAGCATCCCGTGGGCTGCGGGGCGGATATTTAGGGGCCCTCTTCGTCCTCTGCTCACAGCAGCCCCAACCCCCCCGCCCGCCTCAGCTATTGAGGACCATGCCATTTCTAACAGACGGTATTGATGAGGGAATCCACAATTTCAAACTGGTTTTCTGTTAGAAACGAGATGAAATTTACCCATTTATTTTTTTTTAAGATTTTTATTTATTCATTTGAGACACAGAGATACAGAGAGAGAGCATGAGCAGGGGGAGAGGCAGAGGGAGAGGCAGAGGGAGAGGGAGAAGAAGGTTCCCCGCCGAGCCAGGAGCCCGACGTGGGGCTCAATCCCAGGACCCTGGGATCATGACCTGAGCTGAAGACAGACGCTTAACCCTCCGAGCCACCCAGGCGCCCCTACCCATCTATTTTTAAATAGGCAGAACAACCCTAGAATCCTACGAAGACCAATCGCACAGATTTATCATTTGATTGTAACATTGCCTGATACAGTCCTCTAGTTATTCATGAGTATGAACGTAGATCTTTTCTCTCCAACTAATTGAAAGCGCTCTCTCTGAAGGAAATCTTATAAATTGATTTGGCACGCACAAGCCTAAAGGGTAGGCTTGTCTTCCCAAGGTGCAGGACAAAACCCTGTAGACCGTCAGAGCTCAATCTGTGTAGGATAAATGAATGGGGGAGGCCCGCCTCTTGAAACGTTGAAGAACAGAGGGGGAGGAACGCTAATTGTGCACCCTTGAAGCGTCATGACAGTGAAAGTACTGCTTCGTTTTTTACAGATCAGGAGTCACTTATTATAAATTAAGTTAGAGAGATGAGACAGGCATAGAAATTTGCCTCTAATAACCCTAGGTAACAACTTCCATTTTAATTTCAAACTCTAGAGAAGTCATTCTCTCTCCCTGCCCATTCACCCAAAGTACTGGTACACATTTGTGTGTATTTTTGCTCCAGCTACCCACAACTCAAAATCAAATTGTATATTCTTTACTGCAGTTCATAGTCTCCTCTTCATCTTTTGCTGTTGTATATTGTATGCTATAAACAATTTCAGATCTTATGGGGAAAGTATAAACAAAATACATAAATAGATATTGTAGACTGAATCACTGCAAAAAGGAACTGAGGAGAAATGTTCGGGTGGCTTACCACTTCTGAGGAACTCAATAGCAGCAAAGAAAAACAGTATTTCTTTTAGTGGAGAGATTGTATTTAGTGACTAAGGAGAGAAGTGCCACCTGCTGACAAAATCTTAAATGACCTAGCATTCCAAGTTTTCTTAGAATCTGATCAGACATCTGTCTGATTCTTCATAACTTCATAGGTGGATAAGAAGGGGGCCCCAGAGGCATGACTGTTTCCTCTAAAATAAAGACTATCCAGGGGCGCCTGGGTGGCTCAGTCGTTAAGCATCTGCCTTCAGCTCAGGTCATGATCCCAGGGTCCTGGGATTAAGCCCTGCATCGAGCTCCCTGCTCAGCAGGAAGCCTGCTTCTCCCTCTCCCACTCCCCCTGCTTGTGTTCCTTCTCTCATTGTGTCTGTCTCTGTCAAATAAATAAATAAAATCTAAAAAAAAAAAAGACTATCCCCTATCGAAACCACTCTACAGTTTGTTGCCTAAAACCAACAGAAGGCAAAGGCCTTTTACCTTTGCCAAAGAGCTGCCTCACAAGAGCCGTTCAGAGGCAAATGACTGCATTCGAAGTGAAATGTGAAGTGAAATGTGAAGCCCAAGCAAGGGAAAAGACCTCATTCCAAGCTGCTATTTAGTGTCCGTCAGGCTTTTGCTCCATACTTGGGCCTAACAGATACAGAATAACTGCAGCAGGACTAGAAAAGACAGTATACCTGACCTATCTGCCAAGAAACCCATCATAAATGAGCTTGGTGACAAGGCTCTAGACTTGACAAACATTAAGATGAAGCCCGTGCAGAAGGGAATTTGACAAAAGTAGTGGTGGTTAAGGTGACCTCAGCTAAACTTTCAAGTTTGTGGCACACAGAAAAGGCAGCGTCATGGTTTTCAGGCACTGAGTGTTCTACACTGTTGCCAAGGTAACAACAAAGTTAAGTTCAGATCGCAGGAAAGGGCCTTAATAGAGGGGATAGATCACTGGATTTGGAGTCAGGAGACCTGGATTACAGTGCAAACCCTGTTGTTCGGTATCTGTGGGATTTCTGGAAAGTCTCTTAACCTTTTTGGACTTCAGTGTTTTATCATCCGTAAAATGAAACTACCAATACTTGCCTGGCCAACCAATGAGTTGGTATGAGGATCAAATGCAATGAATTATGAATTCTAAAAGCACTATAGACGCGTATTAATAATTTGTATTTCCTTATCTTTTGGTAAGCTTTATGTGGATAATTGACATAAATACATCCGAGATAGGCAATTACTCTTTATCTTCTAAGTCCATCTAAACTCAAGAAGCATTTAGTACAATTCCTGTGCAATAAAGCACTTAATAGATGTTTCTTGATAAAACTATCAAAAGTAATGGAACGGGGCGCCTGGGTGGCTCAGTCGTTAAGCGTCTGCCTTCGGCTCAGGTCATGATCCCAGGGTCCTGGGATTGAGCCCCGCATCGGGCTCCCTGCTCAGCGGGAAGCCTGCTTCTCCCTCTACTAGTCCCTCTGCTTGTGTTCCCTCTGTCGCTATGTCTCTCTCTGTCAAATAAATAAATAAAATCTTAAAAAAAAAAAAAAAGTAATGGAACATTACTTACCCAGAACTAATCCCTAAGGCACTTTCCTTAACCAGAAGAACTTTCACCAGAACAGAGTAGCCTTAGGTTGAGGGATGGTCAAATCAATTAGTTTAAAAGGGCAGTAGTTATGAGCATAGGACTGTAGAGCCAGATGACCTGGGTTCAAATTTCAGCTCTCACATTCAGGAGCTAAATGATCTTGGATGAGTTAATTTCTTAGTGCCTTAATTTTCCCATCTGTGAAATGGGGTAATAGTACCAACTCCATAGGGTTATTATGAGGATTAACAATGTTCTGAAGTACTTTATGACAGGTACCTGAAACAGAGTAAATACTATGTAAGGGTTTTAAAAATAAATTGAACAACTGTGTGATTTCCTGGAGTATATATGGGCATTTGGTTCCCCATATACAAAGTAATACCAAATTCTTCTCTGTTGGATGCTAGCCTAACTTTTTAAACTTTAGATTAAAGCTCAAGGCAAAAATCTAATCTACATATATACACACAGACAAAAAAATGGCATTTTTAAGTTGTGATTTTGGTGGATAAGTGATCAGGGAGCGATAGGTCATAAGAACCCTGTAAGGATTTCAAACTAGAAATATTCTTCAATCCCAGGATCCCAAGTGTTCCCATCTCCCAATTTGAAACTAAAGACAGACAATGCACATAGAAAGAAACTTGCAATCTGTAGTAGGTAAATAGAACCTGAATTTTTAAAGGTGTCTGATTTAGGAATCTCTTGGTGTTTCTATTCAATATCAGTGGATACTGACCATTTAAAAGACTATTAACAGTTAGCAATCAACTGACATGGAGGAGAGATGTCATTATAATGAAGCCTAAGGGACTGTACAGTGTTTTGGACTAAAAATAAAAGTTTTTTCCTTTGGGGCGCCTGGGTGGCTTAGTCGTTGGGCATCTGCCTTCGGCTCAGGTCATGATCCCAGGGTCCTAGAATCAAGCCCCATGTCGGGCTCCCTGCTTGGCGGGAAGCCTGCTTCTCCCTCTCCCACTCCCCCTGCTTGTGTTCCCTCTCTCGCTGTGTCTCTCTCTGTCAAATAAATTAAATATTTAAAAAAAAATTTTTTTTTCCTTTACTAAATAATGCTTCAGTCCTCTAGTCTGCCTCAGGCTTCCTGCCTCACACCCACTTCCTCTAAGAAAAAACAATGATTGGACTAGGACCAGTAAAGACAGCTTACCTGACCTATTTTCTAACTTCTTTCTCTGCCAGGAAACCCATCTTGAATGAATGAGCTTTTGGTGACAATGGTACTGGGCTTAACAAGCATTGAGATGAAGCATATGAAGAAGAGAAGTTGACACGGAACTCAGGGGTTAGCAGCTCACAACTGTATTATTTTTGGTTCAATTCAATGCATCTCACAAATATTTACTGAGAAATCACTATCCATAAACAGAATCAAGGTAAGATTTATTTTCAGTCTTCAAGAATTGAGTCATAGGTAAGACAACCACACAAATTTAATACAAAACAAAAACATATTAGGATATATTCATGACATAAAAGAGGTTTAAAAAAAGCAACATCAAAGAAATGATTAAACAAACCTGGTTGAAGAAATCTGGAAAATGCTCATAAGGGACATAGCATTCAATAAATGCTCAAAGAGTGAATGAAACTATTTCTTTTTTCCTTTTATTAGAGTCAGTTTTTTTTTTTAATGTTTTTCTGCTTATGAAAATACTACATGGTCACTGTGGAGGATTTTTTTTTTTTGCCTTTTTGTTTTTTTATTTTTTACTTTTTAAAAAATTTAAATTCAATTAACATATAGTGTATTATTAGTTTCAGAGGTAGAGTTCAGTGATTCACCAGTCTTATATAATACCCACTGCTCATTACATCACACTGTGGAGGATTTTTTATTTTTATTTATTTATTTATTTATTTATTTATTTATTTATTTTTAAAGATTTTATTTATTTATTTGACAGAGAGAGACAGCGAGAGAGGGAACACAAGCAGGGGCAGAGAGAGAGGGAGAAGCAGGCTTCCCACCGAGCAGGGAGCCCAATGTGGGACTCGATCCCAGGACCCTGGGATCATGACCTGAGCCGAAGGCAGACGCTTAATGACTGAGCCACCCAGGCGCCCCTGTGGAGGATTTTTTAAAATCCAAAAATGTACAAGTATGAAAAAAAAATCATCTGCAATCTCAGCTGGTTTGAATCTCAGCTCTGCTGCTTTCAGTTTCCTTATCTATAAAATAGGGTTAATGATAATACTTACCTCATAGAGTTGTTGTGAGGATTAATTTAGGAACACTTAAAGCTGTTTCTGGCACATAATAAATGCTCCAAAATGTTGGCAATTAATACGTAAAAACATTGCTATGTGCAAGTACACATGCTTTAAATTAAAATAATGACAATGTTATCTATCAACTTTTTAAAAAAGATTTTATTTATTTATTTGACACAGAGAGAGACAGCACAAGCAGGGGGAGCAGCAGGCAGATGGAGGGGGAGAAGCACGGACTCCATTCTAGCACCCTGGGATCATGCTCTGAGCCGAAGGCAGACACTTAACCGACTGAGCCACCCAGGCGTCCCTATTAACATTTTCATATTATTTTATGTTAGTCTGCGATGAGAAAGCCAGACTATAAAGTGGTCAAATTTAATAACCCTTTCTGGTCCTCTTCACTTGGATTCCACCTAGTGCTTCTGTTTCCAAATAATGTAAGTTTTCAAAATTGAAAGATTTTTATAATCCTAGGTATTTTAATTACCATAAAGGGCCAATGTCGCTAGATAAACTATAGATAAGCTGTAGATACTAGGTAAATGGAACATACATAGACTGAATATATTAAAGATTTTGGAGCCACTCAGACTAGGATTAATATTGGGTCTTGATAGTCCATAGTTGAGGGACATAGGTAATGTAAGAATCAATCCACGCAATTATCTACTTACTGAGTTTTAACTACAGGCTGGCACTGTCCTATGTGCTAGACTCCAGAGATACACTGAAATAGGACGGGAATCCTTGCCTGACATTTTAAAATTACAGACGTGATGCAAAAGTGATGGAGAATATTGTATATATGAAATACATAGTGTAGTGTCTTGCACATGGTGGGTCACTAAACAAATGTAGCTGCTAAATTGTTACAGTACTTTTATTCTACTTCTTTTCCGAATTTCCCCTCCCAAGTTTTGTTTGTTCCTCACTATAGTTTGAGCGACTGCAACCAAGTCTGTATTCAGTAGTGAATAAGCAACAATGAAACCTAACTGAGCACTTATTGTGTGCAAACATATATTATCCCAGTCCTCACAAGAATCCTTTGAGGTCAATACTGTTGTTGTTCCCATTTTACAAATGAGTAAACTGAAATACAGCTAGATTATGTAAAGTGCCCGAAACTGAGGTCAAGTGTGGGAGGGGAAAGAGGATGGCGGGAATTCAAATGTAGACAACTTGAGCCAATACTGCCTCTGAATAAACGAGTAACTGTACCAGAGGAGTAACCTACGAGAACTCCCTAAGAATGCTCTCCTTTTCATGAATGATAATATATTAGTACGTTTAAAGTGAAGTTTAAGAATTTTCAGCGCTCCTGAGAGGATAGTCACCCTCCCGGACCCTAAACACGTGGGACCATAGAAGAGCAATTAAATCACACGTGGTTTGGACTACGTCATCTGGATCTCAGGAGTTCGCTACTCTAACCTACCAACTACCTAATGAAGCCTTTACGGAACATTCTAAGCACACCCAACCGGCGGCTAGGACCCACGCGAGACTCAGCGGCGTGGGAGGGACTCGCGCCGGACGCCCCATCCCGGCATGCACCACAGGCCTCGGCGAGCGTCCGGAAGCGCCCCCCTGCCCGTTGCATGTCGGGAGTTGTAGGCTCCCGGCCCGGGCCCGCGGGCTGCCGTCCGCACTCTCCATGAGGCTGCTGGTGCTGGCCCGCGCGGCGCCGACGCGGGGAGCGCGCTTCGCGCTGACTCAGCGGCGACGGAGGCGGCGGCGTTAGCCGGCCCCTCGCGCTCTTTCCCTTCCTGGGGCGCCGACCCCGCCCGCCTGCTTGCCAGCTTGCCGGCCGGGCGCCACGCAAGAGAAGGCGCCAGGGGACGCGGAGCGGCGCGCGGCCCCGGCCAGCTCGGTCTCCGGCGTTAGCGCTGCGGCCGTGGCGGAGGACGACGGCGACAAGGACGAGGGCCGCTCTCTCCGCTCCCTGCGTGCGGCGCCGCTCCGCTCCGCTGACCAGCCCTCGGGAGTGCAGGCGGGGAGGCGGGATGGACTGATAGGGAAGGTGACTCGGAGCTCGGGGGCGGCGGGACTCGGATCCCGTGGGTCCGTGCGAGGCTGCGGGGAAGTTAGCGGGGAGGACTGGCCCGGGAAGCCCCCCGCTGGGGAGGGGTGCGGGCCGGGGGCCCTCCATGGCGGTGGCGCCCCGATGCTGGGCGGACTGGGTGGGGGTGGGTACGAGCTGCGGCCGTCGCCGCGGAGCGCGTCCCGAGTGCGTGGCCGCCCGTTGCTGGGTGTTTCATCACCCGAATTGCCACGAGGCTTCCTTTAGGGGAGGGACGGAGAGGGGGTGAGGAAGGGGCAAGGGCGGCCAAGGAGGGTTGGCATCGTCTGTGGCCCCTAATGTAGTGGAAGTGACCAGGCTCATTTGTAATAGCAGCGTGTCCCACTAGTTTCAACTGCGGAGACCTCAGACTTGCTTTGCTCCCCGCCCCAGGACAAAAAGGAGAAAAGTGTTATTTCTGTGTAGTAATTGCCAGCACAGACACGCCATTTCTTCTCTTCCCTTCTTCACAGTTCTGCAGGAGTAGACCAGCGTGATGTTTCCCAGTAACCAGAAGAAACGAGTACTTTTTGAAAGTACTAATTAGTTGTTACTGGGGGAAGTTACGTTTTATTAAAGCGACTTGTCAGCGTGGTGTTAAAAGACTGGAAAGATTCAGTCTTGGTCTTTGAACAGTCTTTAGTAGGTGTGGAGGAATTTCCCCAGATTGTTTGATTTATTTAATGGCTACCAAAGAAAAGTTCGGGCTTAATATTTTAAGTATGTTGCTTGCCTTTTCCCGAAACATTTACTAGATGCATAATTGAAGTGTTTATCGCATTGTAACAAATGTTTAAGCCTGCACGTCTGTGCCACGTTAGAACATTGTGTTCATGCACAACCTTTAACTGAGGAACTGTTACCTTTTCTGCACAGGTGGTAACTTTTCAGTTGTTTGCACACATGTAGCTAATTCACCGTTTCATAGTTGTGTTCCACTGCATATTGATTATTATACAGGTTCCTTCTCTGTGGGGGTTCTTTCTGTACTGACAACTGTAGCAAGTTTATGTTTCCTTAGGTTATTTATTGGCCAGGTTTTTAAAGACCAGTGCTGTTTTTGCTTGATAGAATTAAAGTGACTTGACCAAGCTTAAGCAATTTCCCCTAAATTCAAAGAATCTCTTTAGGACTTTTTTTTTTAATTTTTTTTTTTAAGATTTATTTATTTGACAGAGAGAGCACAAGCAGGGGGAGTGGGAGAGGGAGAAGCAGGCTCCCTGCTGAGAAGGGAGCACGGATAGATAGATCCCAGGACCTTGGCTTGGGATCATGACCTGAGCCTAAGGCAGCCGGTTAACCGACTGAGCCACCCAGGCGCCCCTATAGGACTTTTTAAAAAGATTTTATTTATTTATTTGACAGAGAGAGCACAAGCAGGGGGAGCAGCAGGCAGAGGGAGAAGCAGGCTCCTTGCTGAGCAGGGAACCTGATGCAGGGCTCCATCCCAGGACCATCTATAGGATCATGACCTGAGCTGAGGGCAGCCGCTTAACCGATTGAGCCACCCAGGCGCCCCCTCATAGGACTTATTAATCTGGGATTCACAGAAACTCAAAATTTCTTTTTTGTGTTTGCATTTTTCCAGGGAATCATTAAATTTTCTTGTCATTTTTGGCAGGGATAGGGGAGGAAAACCACTGCCTTTTTTTGTGTTTTCATCTGTTCAAATGTCCGTTTATTAGTATGAGATGATAAATCAAGACTGCTGCAAGTAGTTCCCATTTCCCATGTGACTAGCTCTGAATTATAAATAATCTGTTGAGGGCCCACTTTGTGCCAGGCATCCTTTACATACCTTATCTCACTGAAGTCTTTGCAACTTTATGAGGTAGACCCTCTCTTTCCCACTTCATAGAGAGGGCTCTCTCTCACATTTCCTAGTTGTCCATATGGCCCCAGTTTGAAAATGACTAGATTGGAATACAAACCCAGGTATTTCCAAACCCAAAGCCTATGTTCTGCTATGTTCTAGAGACATAATGAGGAATATTTAAGATGGTCCTTTCCGTTTAAGATTATAATGAGAGAACACTGGTAAGCAGGCAGTGACATGTTAGCACTTACAGAATTGGACAATAGGGGTCAAAGAAGTGTTCTTGAAAGAGGTGACCTCTAGGCTGAATTTTGAAGGACAGGCAAGGGTTAACCAAGTAACAAGAAAAGAGCAGTAAATGCAAAGATGAAAGGCAGAATACCGCTGGCCTTGCAGGGTTGGGGTGCAGAATAGTGAGGAGTAATTCAAGAGTTTGCATCTTAACCCTGAGGGCAGTGGATCCTGCCTTGCTGTAGTCTGAACGTTTGATAGTAATCATAAGAGAAAGGGCTGAGCTTTTCTGAAGGGCTCTCAGCACATAACCTGACTTAACTTGTTTCAGGCAGGCCCAGGGGAAGACAGAAAAGCATATTGTAGTTGGGGTCCTCTAACCTGGGTCAGATACTGGCCTCACTGTTTCAAAAAGGCTGTGCGCCCCCACCCCCTGCCTTTACTTTCTTGGCTTCTTTAGGCTCTGATCTTCTCTTGGGTTTATGATAATTAACCCCCCCCCCCAAAAAGCCCTGTAGCCTTTTTTTTTTTTTTTAAGATTTTATTTATTTATTTGAGACAGAATGAGAGAGAGAGCGCGCACATGAGAGGGGGGAGGGTCAGAGGGAGAAGCAGACTCCCCGCCGAGCAGGGAGCCCGATGCGGGACTCGATCCCGGGACTCGATCCCGGGACTCGATCCAGGGACTCGATCCAGGGACTCCAGGATCATGACCTGAGCCGAAGGCAGTCGCTTAACCGACTGAGCCACTCAGGCGCCCCCCTCCCTGTAGCCTTTTGATGGGAATAGTAGGCATGGTCTCCCTACCTCATAGGTATTGAGAGAATAAATGTGATTTTCACATCATTTAGAATTTGTTCCTTGTTCCCTCGGTTATACATTCTATCAAAAACCAGGTTGCCTTTTGGGGCTTAATCATGTTCTTATTTGAGAATGTTAGACCCTGTACTGTGAAAAAGTACATTGCTTTCCAAAGACTAAAAAAAATGTTCTTAAATAAGAGTAGTCAGTATTAAGGTCTGGTTTATCAATTTTTATAGCTACTATTAAAAAATGTTTTTGAAATACATTTCTAAAATTGTCCAGAGAGTCTATTGTTTAAAAGTTAAATGACTGGTTTTTCATTCTTCTACTCCTTCCTCTTTCATCTGACTTACCTTGAAGTACTTGATAGACACTCCAGTAAGGATATTGAATTCCAAGGTTACTATTTAATCAGCCATTCTAAGTTGTTTTTTTCCTAAAGATCTGTGATATTGGTAAATGGAAGTAGGCAAATTAGTATAATAAGATAATCTAGATTTGTCATATTTTAATATAGTTGCAGAGTTGCATTTTTAAGTACTGGGGATGATTACACTGCATAAATGAGATGCTTCTATTTAAAGTAGAAAAGAATTACTTTGTATACTTGATTATCTTGAAGAATAAGAAAATTTGAGAACATTAATTGCATATGTTAGATTTTTAGAAATTACACATTTGTGGGGTATTTAGTAGGCCTATTCTTCTGAGACTTAGGTTCCTTTAGTTGTAATTTGGGGTAGTTTCAAAAGTTCTTTCAACATTTACACTTATTTGCATAATGTCATCCACTTGTTACGATATTCTGGATAAGCATCGGTTTTGTATCAAGTATTATTTTCTTTGATGTTTTTTTGTGTGTGTGCAGATGTTTGTGGATTCTTCTGTGGGATCAGAGGGCACGCCTATTGTAATCAGAAAACTCCAAGAATAGCAGCAGGGATGGATGAACAGGCTCTTTTAGGGCTAAATCCCAATGCTGATTCAGACTTCAGACAAAGGGTAAGTTAACTTAATCATTTTTTAAAGATTGTTACCACAGATTTGCATTAGAGGACTTGAATTTAAAAACAAAATACATTTGATGGTAAAGGTTTCATTTGAGTAGAAATGAAGAGAGACAAATTTGAGGTACTTGAATATATTCTGAATACAGAAACGGTGAGCATTGTGATTGATGTTCTTTTTAGTTGGCTCAGCAAAGGTATTAAAATCTCATGTGATTCAAGGCAGCTCTTTATGTCACATCAGTCATTATTTCTAATTATTTAAAAGTTGCAGTGCAAAGGATTGCTCAAGGAACTTTCCATAGTGGCAGACATGCATATTTTATCTTTATATTTCCTGGCTTGGTCTGGACAAGTTGTTTAACCTTCATGTTAGTGATATTTAGCATCCTTGTTACTTAGTCCAGGCAGACATGTAAGTTAGAGGTTATGATATGCCATGTCTTAGATTACATAAAATGATTAGATAACAAGGAATCCATTATGAGGTGCGGGGATATTTGAGCAAATATAAACAATTAAACACAATGTAGGCTATACCTGTAATCATGGCTATAGCTGAACGATAAAAAGAATTTAAAGAATAAGCCTATAATTAAGTTTTTTTAAAGATGTGGGTGTTTTGAAATATAGGGTAAGTGGAAGGAGAACCATCTTCTCTTTCTACTTCTCATAGCAAAGGATATTTTTTATAAATGAGCTAAATGAGGGTAACAGTCTCACTAAATATTATTGCAGTTTTGTTGTCCTTTTAAGGAGAATTTTTTTTTTTTAAGATTTTATTTATTTTTTGCGAGAGAGAGATTGCGTGGGAGTGAGTGCATATGAGCCGGGGGTGGGGAAGCAGACTCCCCGCTGAGCAGGGAGCCTGATGCGGGACTCGATCCCAGAACCCTGGGATCATGACCTGAGCGAAGGCAGATGCTTAACCTAACCGACTGAGCCACCCAGGTGCCCAAATTTTACTTAAAAAATTTTTTTAAGTAAAAAAAAAAAATCTCAAGTAGTTTCTCACATGGTTCCATGCCTCTGCTGTTACATAAGTAACCAACCATCCGCATAAAGTAACCAACCATCCGCATAAAGGTAAATAACAAGAATTGCGATTTAAATAATCTGGCTAGTTACAAGATACCTAACAAACTAGTTAGGACATCAAAAGACATTTAAAATCCATGTTTTCTGTGTGTAGACAAATTTCTTTATGTAGGAGTTTAAGCTACCTACCTTCAAAGCCTAAGTCACATAGTTGAAGTATCATAGATTTTTACCTTGGTATTGCATGGCTATAACCTTTTACTATTTGTTTAATTATTAAATAGCCTTTTCTGTTGTTTCTTTAATGATCCTTTATGGAAATCATTTGTTTTTTATTAAATACCACTATCCAACAGATTTTTTAAATGTGCAATGATCTTCTTTTTCAGAAAAGTAAATCCAATGCATTGTTAGTGGTCTTAATATAAAATTATGCTTTTTATCAATAAAAACGAGTTCTATCAGTTACAGGTTTATGTCAAGCATCCAAATTCAGGCTTAGTTTGATATCCCATTAAGCCAACCTGAGTAACAGAATTAATTAGGATAAAAAGGAATCTTAAGGAAAGTGAATTCTGATAATTCTGATGTTGGAAATCAAGAGTAGTGGAACACTAAATCATTTTGATCATAACTGTCTGCCAACTCCAATTCTCAGTTGTCTGGCTATAGTTCATTTTTTTTACAGGGACAGTAGCTAAAGTGACTCTGTTGCCACTTAGAGGCAACAGAGCGTTAAGAGAAAAGGTATGAAATAGAGGAAAAGGTGATAAAAGCTTGGACTTGTTCATAATTGCCACAAAATTTCACTTAAAAATGCTAGTAAATGGGGCATCTGGGTAGCTCAGTCGGTTGAACTTCCGACTCTTGGTTTCGGCTCAGGTCATGATTACAGGGTTGAGGGATCGAGCCCCGCATTGGGGCTGCATGCTCAGCTGAGAGTTTGCTTGAGATTATCTCTATTCTCTCCCTCTGCTCCTCCACCCATGCTCTCTCTCTCTCAAATAAATCCTTTAAAAAAATGAAAATGCTAAAAGTGCATGCATTCAGAATGCAAAGACTTTAAAACCTGAAAACTCTCAGGTTATTTTCACTTTTTTAATGGAATCAATGTCTTTGGCTTAAAACTTGCTATTATTTAAAGAAAACGGTATGTCAGTGATAATTCTAGCAGCTGAATCCCCCCCTTCTTTTTTTGGTAAGTGAAATATTAGGTGGTAATGCAGCATACATGATTGACTTCCACCTTGCCCTAAATGGGACAATAAATGTTCCTAAAAGAAACCCTAGGTTTCATGGAATATTGTTAGACAACAACTGGGTTGTCGCCTGTGTTCTTCTGTTCTTAATTTCCAAAGATAACCATTATTTATATTTAACATAGTATTTGGTGATCTTCATCTACTTACCTTCATTTACTTGGTTCTTTATCAGTGGGAGCAGCCAGTGAGACCACATATGAAAACCCATTCCCTCATTCATACAACTGTAATAGAGCTTTTTTGCTTTAAAGGAAAAAATTTTACATCTTGACTTTGTGTGTATAGGCAGACATATATAAGTATATTTTATATATATATAGTATATGTACACACAACTAAAACAATTTACACAAAATAATAGTTATTTTTATTATGTGCAGTGCACTCTGATATTCTGTCATTTTTTGATTGCTGATCAAGACCTATAAAATTGATTTCAGGGGTGCCTGGGTGGCTCAGTCAGTTAAACATCTGCCCTTGGCTCAGGTTGTGATCCTGGAGTCCCGGAATCGAGTCCCGTGTCGGGCTTCCTGCTGGGGCAGGGAGTCGACTTCTACCTCTGACCCTCCCCCTTCTTGTGCTTTGTCTCTCTCACTCTCACATAAATAAATAAAATTTAAAATATATATATATATTAAAAAATATTAAAATTGATTTCATCACCAGTGGGGCACAAACCACAGTTTAAAAAAATATTTACTAATTAAAATTAGGTTACTCTAGGGCGCTTGGGTGGCTCAGTCGGTTAAGTGTCTAACTCTCAATTTCAGCTCAGGTCATGATCTCAGGGTTGTGAGATGGAGCCCTCCATTGGGCTCTGTGCTGGGAGTGGAGCCTGCTTGGGATTCCTTCTTCTGCCCTCTGCCCTTTCCCATCCCCCCTTAAAAAAATTAGGTTCCTCTAATGCTTAATGTTCTTTCTACTTCATTTCAAAGTTTGATCAGTACATCAATTGCTTTAAAATTATCTAGCACTGTTTTTGTGTAATTTTCTTGACTGAGATACTTCTTACAGGTTATTAGGATTACTATTTGTCCATTGTCATACGTGACATCTGCATCTGTCATTGAAGCCAGTTGCAACATGCTAATGGAAAAGAGTGGCAGAAGTCATTCCCATTTTCCCAACAATCTGGTAAAGAGCACATGGACTTGGTGCTGCATCCATTCTAGAGTATACTTACTCTTTTTTTTTTTTTTTAAGATTTTATTTATTTATTTGATAGCACAGCAGGGGGAGTGGCAGGCAGAGGGAGAGGGAGAAGCAGGCCCCCCGTGGAGCAGGGAGCCTAATTCGGGGCTCGATCCCAGGACCCCGGGATCATGACCTGAGCTGAAGGCAGATGCTTAACCAACTGAGCCACCCAGGCGCCCCTAGAGTATACTTACTTTTATAACAATGCCCTGAATTCATGAAATGAGAAACATTTCCTAAAGGTTTTCAATTATTCATACTTTTCCAAAATTCATATTCATGCAGTTGGACTCTAATTTTGGTTTGGGTTTGTTTTTTTTTTTAAAGATTTTATTTTTAGTTTTATTATTTTTATTTTTAATTAATTATTATTATTTTTTTTTTAATTTTATCTATTTATTTGACAGACACAGCAAGAGAGGGAAAACAAGCAGGGGGAGCGGGAGAGGGAGAAGCAGGCTTCCTGCAGAGCAGGGAGCCTGACGGGGCTTGATCCCAGGACCCCGGGACCATGACCCGAGCTGAAGGCAGACACCTAACAACTGAGCCACCCAGGGGCCCCGATTAATTAATTTTTTAACTAAGTAGGCTCCACGTCCAGTAGAGAGCCCAACATGGGACTTGAACTCACAACCCTGAGATCAAGACTTAAGCTGAAATCAAGAGTTGGACGCTTAACTGACTGAGCCATCCAGGCACCCCTGTTTTTTGTTTTTTAAGATTTTTAAAATTTTTAAGTAATCCTGTACACCCTCTTGATCTCGAACCTGAGATCAAGAGTCGCACCCTCCACCAACTGAGCTAGCTAGGTGCCCCATGGACTCTAATTTTATAATCACCTCTTTAATAGTATTTTGTTATTAAATAGGAAAAATGCCCTTTATATACTATTTTATAATTGCATATGCCTCCGTAGCATAGTACTTGAAAAGTACTTGTGTATTTTTTCTCATAATACTCATAATTACCCATTGAGGTCTGCAGGACATTTTTGTGTTGTCTCCTTTGCTGTAAGGAAACAGATTTGAGTAACTGATGGAATTTGTTTTTTACTTAACCTTTTTTCTAGAAACGATAAGTTGCACTTACTCAGAAGCCAGAATTCAGTGTTTTAGCTATTTTTCTTCAGGTTGACTGATTTGTTATTGGTTTGCTACTCCTAGAATATTTTAATATCAGTTGGGCACTGAGATTGACTATTCTAAATGCATTTACGGCTTTGCAATCTTACAGGCCCTGGCATATTTTGAGCAGTTAAAGATTTCCCCAGATGCCTGGCAAGTGTGTGCAGAAGCTCTAGCCCAGAGGACGTACAGGTAATTATAAAACAAAATTTGCATGACTTAGAGGAATTTAAATTTCTGTGGCACCTGTATTTGGAAAATGTTTTCATAAAAACATTTATGACTTGTGTTTTGGAAAAACATTCAGTGTAGAAATGAGAAAAAGAGTAAACTAGTAATTTGGCCATTCCAGGATTAACTTTTCAGTAAAACTAGACTTTACCTTAGGCTGTGTACCTGACAGCAGATCCCAGCGGGAATACAGTAGAATAAAAACTTCTGATGGAAAGTGATAGTTGGTTTGCTAAAAAGTTGGCAAAGTCAGTAATCATGAATTGTATATATTTTATGTTTTTATTTTAATTTAAAGTATATAAACATTCAGTTGCCAGTTTTTTTTATATTGGACCAAGGTCTTTCCTTTATGTATATTCCACTAGCATTCACTTCATCATTCTTAAATTGATCACACCCATGATCCATCCTCTACAATTTCCACTTTGGGTCTCTGTGGATTGAGGAACAATTAGTGCAAATTCCTAGACTTTTATAGTTATTTTCTTCCACCTCTCCAAGTCTTCTGGTTATCTAGCCCACATCAAATATGCACAAGGTTTTTCCCTTTTTAAAAAATTTATTTTATTTATTTTTTAAAAATTTTATTTATTTATTTGACACAGAGAGAGATAGCGAGAGCAGGAACACAAGCAAGGGGAGTGGGAGAGGGAGAAGCAGCCTTCCCCGCTGAGCAGGGAGTCCGATACGGGACTCGATCCCAGGACCCTGGGACCATGACCTGAGCCGAAGGCAGACGCTTAACGACTGAGCCACCCAGGCGCCCCTAAAATTTTTTTTTATTTTAATTCCACTTAGTTAACATCCAGTGTTACATTAGTTCCAGGTGTATAATACAGTGATTCAACCATCATCCTGTGCTCATCACAACAAGTGCACTCCTAATCCCCATCATGTACTTAACCCATCCTCCCACCCACTTCCCCTCTGGTAACCATCAGTTTGTACTCTGTGGTTAAGAGTCTGTTTCTTGATTTGTCTCCCACTCTCATTTTTTTCCCTTTGCTCATTTGTTTTGTTTCTTAAATTCCACATACGAGTGAAATCATAGGGCTTTTTCTGACTGACTTACTTCACTTAGCATTATACACTCTAGCTCCATCCATGTCATTGCAGATGTCAGGATTTCACTTTTTATGGCTGAATAATATTCCATTGTATATATATACCACATCTTTAGCCATTTATCAGTTGATGGACACTTGGGCTGCTTCTGTATCTTGGCTATTATAAATAATGCTGCTATAAACATAGGGGTGCATGTATCCCTTTGAATTAGTGTTCTGAGGTTTTTCTTTTTTGTAATATGACTTTCTATGAAGTCTTTCTAAAGCATTCAACTTAATTTTTACAAAAATAGGCACTCTCACATTCATTTCGTTAGTTTATTATTTTTAAAGGTTTTATTTATTTGACAGAGAGAGCACAGGTAGGGGGAGCAGTAGGGAGAAGGAGAAGCAGGCACCCCGCTGAGCAGGGAGTCTGATGTGGGGCTCAATCCCAGGACCCTGGTATCGTGACCCGAGCCGAAGGCAGCTGTTTAATGGACTGAGCCACCCAGGCGCCCCTCATTTCATTAGTTTATATAGTAGTTAATGAAGTTATTTAAAAAAGACCTACAACTGACATAGTAAGGCTTAGGGGAAACACAGCTGACTAATAACTCGCTGGTGGGAATAGACGCTCATGGGTATTAGTGATGGCTTCTAGCTGGCATCCTCAGCGTGCTATGGCTATCATGCTTGCCACCTTTTACAGTCAGAATCAAGTGCTCCACCTTAGTGAGAGTTAATTTTGAGAACATATATGCCTGGGAGTATATAAGATCTGGCTTTTTTTTAGGTCTGGCTTTTATTTATTTATTTATTTATTTATTTTTAAGATTTTATTTATTTATTTGACAGATAGCGAGAGCAGGAACACAAGCAGGGGGAGTGGGAGAGGGAGAAGCAGGCTTCCCGCTGAGCAGGGAGCCTGATGTGGGACTCGATCCCAGGACCCTGGGACCATGACCTGAGCCGAAGGCAGATGCTTAACGACTGAGCCACCCAGGCGCCCTAGATCTGGCTTTTAATTAAAGGATTCCTGCAGTTTATTTTTGAGTGGAAAATATAAGTCTTGTATAGTTCATTAAGGCTTCAATGTCATCTATGTTAAGAATAGGAACCCTAGGGGCACCTGGGTAGCTCAGTCGTTAAGCGCCTGCCTTTGGCTCAGGTCAGGATCCTGGGGTCCTGGGATCGAGCCCCGCATCGGGCTCCCTGCTCGGCGGGAAGCCTGCTTCTCCCTCTCCCACTCCCCCTGCTTGTGTTCCCTCTCTCACTGTGTCTCTCTCTCTGTCAAATATATAAAATCTTAAAAAAAAAAAAAAGAAAAAAAAGAATAGGAACCCTAAGTTCTTGGAAGAGGTGCTAATTAAACCTAACTTAAAACTTTTAAAGATTAAATTTCATCTTCTTGTGTGTGAAATTATTTTATTTAGTTAATTCATGTATTCTAAGTTTAGATATTGTCTCATCTTATATTGACCAGTTAGCTTTATATATCAAAAATTTCTTCTATGACTAAGCCTTGCCCAAGCCAACTGTCTTGGATGAAATGATTGTTGTTTACTAAAGAGATTTTGTCAGAGATGTCAGAGATTGTAGCTGGCTCACTGCAACTCTGCATCACCCCTATAGAGACCTTGAGAGTAGATAATTGTTAGATCTGATTTTTGCTCCCTTCTTATAAGGGCAGTATATTTGTAACTTGGTTTTCTATATAAATTTTGAGGCTGAACTACCAGTCTGAGTGACCCTGCTCATTTGGATTTGGCTGCAATGGAACTGTGTAGGATTGGATTTTAGGTATGATTTCATTTACCATCACTGATTTGACTCAGTCTCTGGCTGTGTGACCATTTGTCATTTTACACCTAGCCTTTCTGTTGTAAAGTGTAGGAGTGGTTTCAGTAATCCTAACATCTAGAATTTAGGGAAATTCCTTCTGTTTGCAAAGCAGTATACTTAAGGTGCATCTCAATTTTTTTTCATTTTTTTGCTTGTCAGATTTAATGGACCTATTGAGTGTGGAGTAATATTTAAGTTCTAAACAGTATAATAAATGAGATCGATAAGTAGAAAGTAAACCAGAGGTCTTGTTTGAGAAACTTCAACTGTGATTCACCTAGTACTTTACTTTTGATTTGTTTTCTCTAAATTATATTCTGCTTATCTGATTTTCTTTTCTTTTTCAGTGATGATCACATAAAGTTTTTCTGCTTTCAAGTACTAGAACATCAAGTTAAATACAAGTAAGGCTTTTCTCACTGTTTTGACTCTGAAATTTATGGGGAGAGGTCATTTTTAAATTAGTTTTTCTCTCTTTGGGAAAATCCTAATACAAGCTGTAAATTGAGAGTGTATGAGACACATCCAGTTTATAGATGTGTTTTTGATTTATCCCAAAGTGTTGTAAAAATACTGAGTTAATTGGTTACATAAAAAAATCCAGACATTTCACAGAAAAAATTCATTTCTACCTTCTCTGGAAAAATCTGAAGATCTAGCAACACCAGACCTGTTTCTACATGCCAACTCTGTTAGAGGTTAGTGGCAGCATGGCCACTTGGATTTAGAACCTCTGCCTTAAATAAGCAGAAACGGTGAATCACTGCTCAGAGGACCCTTCGTTTGCCTCTTGATTTATTCTGTAAGCCACAGACCTCAAAATGTAGACACATTTCCATTTGAGAAATTCCACAGCTGTCATTTTGTTTTAACATGAACTGGACCACAAATCAAACTAATATCAGTGACACTACCTGCCAGGCCCACCCCTACCTTTTCTTTAAAGCCATGATGAGAAGCATTATTGATTTATTTTAGGAAATTTTAAGTAATTGAGTGATACACAAATTTTCCCTTTCAAAAATATGAGGCTGTTACTTTTTAAACCACAGACACCAAATGTAGCCGTTATTATTTTTCTTCTCTATTTTGAACAGATACTCAGAACTAACTACTGTTCAACAACAACTAATTAGGGAGACGCTCATATCTTGGCTTCAAGCTCAGGTAAAATAGTAATTTCACTCAGTACCTTAAATTACTAGATAATTAAATTTTTAGTTTTGCAAGAGTTTAGAACTTTACCTCAAAAATGTTGATCACTTATCCTCCCTTTGATCCCGTAGCTTTTTTAGAAAGTGCTGATTTCAGAAATCTTGGGTATATGAAAACTTACCAATAATTTTTTTTTAAAGATTTTTTTTTTTTTTAATTTATTTGACATAGAGACAGAGAGAGAGGGAACACAAGCAGGGGGAGTAGGAGAGGGAGAAGCAGGCTTCCAGCTGAGCAGAGAGCCCGATGCGGGGCTCGATCCCAGGATGCTGGGATCATGACCTGAACTGAAGGCAGACGCTTAACCGTCTGAGCCACCAAGGCGCCCTACCAGTAATTTAAAATTATATCAATAACTGAAACTTTCATGCTTTCCATGACACATTGTTGAAACCTTGGTTTTAAGGTGGGGTTTTTGGTGGTGGTGGTGGTGGTGTTTGTTTGTTTGTTTTTAACTACTTGACAAAAACAGATTTTTGTTCACTCCTAAAGGTGAACCCTCCTGGACAGCCTCTTCACAAAGAGCCCTTTACAAGAGAGCTATTAGAGTTCTTTATTCACATTTTGTTATTTTTTGTTAATTTTAATCTTAACATATAAAGTGGTTATGTAGATAGAATTTTTATTTTCCTTAAAGGGCAAACAAGAAAAACAGTTTAACTAGTAGAACCAATTTGACTAGTAGAACCAAAAACTAGTAGAACTGCACGTGAAACTTTTCTTTAAAAGTGTAAGAATAAGAAATAAACATAGCACATTTGTTTGTTTTCCATCTGGGTAATCAGTTAAATACTTTGGTAATTTTCCCGCATATTTGTTGCACAGCTAATCTAGACCATGTTGAGGCTTGGTGAGTTTTTGCTTATTGATGGTAAATAGGAAAACAATGTGTTTGAGACTTTCCAACTTACATTTAATTTCATGGACAATTTCTCTTTGTCAGATGCTGAATCCCCAACCAGAGAAGACCTTTATACGAAATAAAGCAGCCCAAGTCTTCGCCTTGCTTTTTGTTACAGAATATCTCACTAGGTGGCCCAAGTTTTTTTTTGACATTCTCTCAGTAGTGGACCTAAATCCAAGGGGAGTAGATCTGTACCTCCGAATCCTCATGGCCATTGATTCAGAGTTGGTGGATCGTGATGTGGTGCATACATCAGAGGCAAGTAACTTCCCATTAATTGTTAGTTTTTAATGTAGATTTTGTAGGAGATGATGGGCACATAATAAAAAGAGTAGGAAGTCTTTCTTTGGAGACAGATTTTCTGTTCTTTCTGGCTTTTTTTTAAGTTTATTTTTTTTAGTAATTTCTATACCCAGCATGAGGCTCTTACAACCCCAAGATCAAGAGTCGCATGATCTTCCAACTGAGCCAGCCAGGCACCCTCAAATTTTCTTAATAATTCTAAGTTCAGGGGCACCTGGGAGGCTCAGTCGATTAAGCATCTGCCTTCGGCTCAGGTCATGATCCCAGGGTCCTGGGATTGAGCCCTGCGTCTGGCTTTCTGCTCAGCGGGGAGGCTGCTGCTTCCTCTGCCTGCGGCTCTGCCTTGCTTGTGCATACTCTCTCTCTGTCAAGTAAAATCTTAAAAAAAGAAAGAATTCTAAATTCACCTAACTTACCCTTTTTTTTTTTTTAAGCAGACTCCACACCCATTGTGAGGCTTGAACTCATGACCCTGAGATCAAGAGTCACATGTTCTACCAACTGAGCCAGCCACACGCCTCTAAATTCACCCAACATTTTGAATTTTGTTCTACAAAGGAGCTTGAACTGGGCTTCTTTTTCCCCAAGTGTATGTTGAAATTAGAGTGTTACTTTAGATTTTTTTAACTATGAAAGCACTTTCTCCAATAAAATACACAAAGTGGTTCTGTTTTATGAATTTCTGGAGAAATGTGGTCTGTATTTACTACTGCTACATAGTTCCTGAGTGAGCAGGAATCATTGCTTATGAATCTGCTAGTTTCTTCTGTATTCTCGGTCATAAAGCCCGTCACCTTAGTCTTTCTCTATTCATTATCCGATGTAACTTTCTCTGTATTCTTAACACAATAGAAGTTGCTTGATTTGAAAAAGAAAAAAAGAAAAGATAAAAAAAAAATTGCTTGATTCAAATGTGTATAATAATTTTAAGGTCATTATATGTCAGACATACTTATGACTTTAAAGGTTATTATCATGCATTTAAATTATTACCATTCCTGGGGTGCCTGCCTGGCTTGTTGGTTAAGCGTTGAACTCTTGATTTCAGCTCAGGTCATGATTTCAGGGTCATGAGATCGAGCCCTCTGTTGGGCTCTGCTCTAGGTGTAGAGCCTGCTTAAGAGTCTCTCTCAGGGTGCCTGGGTGGTTCAGTCAGTTAAGCATCTGCCTTTAGCTCAGGTCATGATCCCAGAGTCCTGGGATCAAGCCCTGTGTCAGGCTCCCTGCTCAGGGGGTAGTCTGTTTCTCCCTCCGCTTACATACACTCTCTTTCTCTCTCTCAAATAAATAAAATCTTTTTTTTTTTTTTTAAAGATTTTATTTACTTATTCATGAGAGAGAGAGAGAGAGGCCGAGGGAGAAGCAGGCTCCCAAGGAGCAGGGACCCCAATGCAAGACTCGATCCCAGGACCCTGGGACCATGACCTGAGCCGAAGGCAGACGCTCAACCATCTGAGCCACCCAGGCGCCCAAATCTTTTTTTTTTTTTTTTAATTTTTTTATTTATTTGCGAGAGAGAGAATGAGAGACAGAGAGCATGAGAGGGGAGTGGGTCAGAGGGAGAAGCAGACTCCCTGCTGAGCAGGGAGCCTGATGTGGGACTTGATCCCGGGACTCCAGGATCATGACCTGAGCCGAAGGCAGTCGCTTAACCAACTGAGCCACCAAGGCGCCCTCTTTTTTTTTTTTTTAAGATTTTCTTTCTCTCTTCCTCTCGCTCTCAAAAAAAATAAATAAATAAAAAATTTATTGCCGTTCTTCGGGCACCCAGCTGGCCCAGTCAGTGGAGCATGTGACTCTTGATCTCAGGGTTGTGAGTTTGAGCCCCATGTTGGGTATAGAGATTACTTAAAATCTTTTTTAAAAATCGAAAAAATAAAAAAATAAATTATTGCCATTCTTGCAGAATTTATAGAGATATTGATTCACTGTGTTGTACACCTGAAACTAATGTAACATCTTGTGTCAACTAAAAAAAATTTTCTTTTAATTAAAAACAATTTGCATTCTCTTAAGTAGTTTAAATATCATGTTTGCATAATATTGAGAAGTACCTTTTATCATATGCTTTAGATTTCTAAGTAATGCTTATTTATAGTTTGTGTTTAATAAGAAATTAAATCTGCTCTGAGGAACACAACGGAAAAAGGAAATTAAAAGAATCACAGGATATGATTTTAGAGTTGATAAGTAGGAAATAGTGGCAGGGAATGTGTTAACAAGTCTAGAAGTTTAATTGTGAGGAAATTACTGTGTGCAACTAGTCAGATGTCAAAAATTAGTTTGTGTGATAATCTACTTTGCACATAAGGTGTTTTGTTTTGTTTTTTAGGAGGCCCGTAGGAATACTCTAATAAAAGATACCATGAGGGAGCAGTGCATTCCAAACTTGGTGGAATCATGGTACCAAATTTTACAAAATTACCAGTATACTAATTCAGAAGTGACATGTCAGTGCCTTGAAGTAGTTGGGGCTTATGTCTCTTGGATAGACTTATCCCTTATAGCCAATGATAGGTAAGTATACCTATACTTTAAAGATAGAAACCTACAAAATACAGTATATAAAACTCATGAGTTTGAAAACATTGTAACAATTTTTTTCTCCTATTGCCAGGTTTATAAATATGCTGCTAGGTCATATGTCAATAGAAGTTCTGCGGGAAGAAGCATGTGACTGTTTATTTGAAATTGTAAATAAAGGAATGGATCCTGTTGATAAAATGAAACTAGTAGAGTCTTTGTGTCAAGTGTTACAGTCTGCTGGGTTTTTCAGCATTGACCAGGTCAGTAAATTTATGTATGAAGTAAAACAAAGTAGGACAGGTACTAATTTAAATATGCTTTTTCTTTCTCTTTTCTGTTTTTTTTTTTTTTTTTTTTTTTTTTTTTAGTATGGTAAACTCTCCTTGACTATAAGGAAACACTGTATCCAGAAAGCCATGATGTTATCTGTAGCATTGGCCTGGACAGTAGATTATACCCGTTCTTAAATTGAAGGTCTAGGGTAGTACCTGCGGATGTGCATTTCTAACGAACTTCGAGTTGATGCTCATACTACTGGTCTGTACTTTCAGTGGCAAGGAACTGTACTATATACATGGCAGTGCATTTGGATCAAAACTAGATTTAGTTATAAATGTTACATTTTCACCATACTTTTGAATTGTTACTCATTTGAGCTATTGGAGTTTAGCCCCAACAGAGTGAAGACTCTGAGTGTGGGAAGTAATTTAGAAACAGAATTTGAAGATTTTTATTTTACCTGTGACAGTGATAAAAAAATTACTAAGAAATATTTGTTTTGCTGTTCTGTGAGTAATACAGCTCTAGGATTGTCCTTGCTGACAGAAGAGTAGTAGCGTTTTCTTACGTTGCTAATAATTGTCTCATTTAGTCTGTGGTAAAAGACCTAAAATGACGAAGGTAACATCTCTTTCTATAGGAGAACATCATAAGGGTAATTGATGAAAACAATCTGAAGTTTGAGTTCTGACTCTTAACACTGGTATGACCTTAGGCAGGTAGTTGTAACAGCAGTTCTATCTCTTGCAGCATAGTTAAGGCTCAAATTGTTATAAATTGTTACACATACTGTATTATGACATTAACTGTTGCAGCATATTTACTAACTTGAGCAGTTTAGAAGGAAGGTTTTGAAACCACAGATCTCTTTTTTTAAGCTTTTATAAACTTGGCAATATCTACAGGTCTATAACCATTAAAAAGAGTTGCTTGGAAGAGTACAAGTGGTTAATAATAGTAGAGTTTAAATTCCAGAATTTTTCAGTCAAGATGGTAGAATGGGTAAATGTTAGTTTATAATTGGCACTTGATTCATACTAAAGTTTAGAGTTTTTCTTCTTACTCTTATGTGGGTGGGTTTTTTTGTTTGTTGTTTTTTATGTGGGTGGTTTTAAATTGAGGTCTCTTGATTGCTTAATAGGAAGAAGATGTTGACTTTCTAGCCAGATTTTCTAAGCTGGTAAATGGAATGGGACAGTCATTGATAGTTAGTTGGACTAAATTAATTAAGAATGGGGATATCAAGAATGCTCAAGAGGCACTACAAGCTATTGAAACAAAAGTGGCGCTGATGCTGCAGCTACTAATTCATGAGGATGATGACATCTCTTCTAATATTATTGGATTCTGTTACGATTATCTTCATATTTTGAAACAGGTAAGTCCTTGTTTTAATCTTTTTGCCCAGTAGATAATAGACGAGCCATAGAGAATTGGAAAATACAGGAAAAATGAAAAGAAGAAAATACCCCTAATTCTATTAGCTAACAAAATTTCCCCCACCCCCAACTCAACTTCTTAGCCAGAAAATGGGAATAGCCAGGTTCTAAAATTCACTAGACTTTAACAAGCTTCGAATTAGCTACAGGTTTAGGTTATTTTTTCATTTTGAATCTGTTTTTGTTTTTATTTATTTTTTCTTTCCTTTCCTTTCCTTTTCTTTCCTTTTCCTTTTTTATTAAGTAGGCTCCACACCCAGCGTGGAGCCCAGCGCAGGCCAAGGCTCACGACCCAGAGATCAAGACCTGAGCTGAGATCAAGAGTTGGACACTTACCGACTGAGCCACCCAGGCGCCCCTGTGTTTGTTTTAAATATAGTAGAAATTTTGTTAAACATTGTTCATTATTTTAATTACATATACATCATTTCATATAAAGTTTTTTACAATTAAAAAATTTCTCTTAGTTGCTTCCAATAAGAACTTAAAATGTAGATGGTAGCAGTCTCCATATTATGACTGGTAGCCTTTTAAAAATTAGTAATTTCCCATTATGTCATTAGATGAGAAAACCATTCCTATTTTACTTACATTTGATTAGTTAAATCAAGTCAAGCTTAAAATATTAGCTTCTGTGTTATTGTTATAAATGTAACACACGTCTGCCTACATACCTTAAGAAATTTTAGGTAATGGGAAAGATATGAAGAAAGTTAAAATGACTCCTGGTAATCCCACTGTGTATCTCTTAACAGACCTCTAGCTTTTTTTGCCTTGTTTGAAAACAAGAGAAGGGTGCCTGGATGGCTCAGTTGGTTAAGCATCTATCTTCAGGTCAGGTCATGATCCCAAACTCTGCTTGGTGGGGAGTCTGCTTCTCCCTCTCCTTCTGCCTGCTGCTCATGCTCACTTGCTCTCTCTCTCTCTCTCAGAAAAAAAAAATAAATGTTTAAAAACAAAACAAGGGAAGACCATACTTTACTGTCTTACAAACTTCTTTGGTGAATATATTATAAATATCCTTAAAATTGAAATTCATCTACATGTCAAGTTATTTAGTAGAAATGAAATTGCTAGGTCTTAGGTGCATTTGAAATATAGAAAGGTACTGCCAAACCTTCCTCCACAGAAGTCATGTGCATGTTTTAAAAGATCTTCATTGGGTGCCTGGGTGGCTCAGTCGTTAGGCGTCTGCCTTCAGCTCGGGTCATGATCTCAGGGTCCTGGGATCGAGCCCCGCATCGGGCTCCCTGCTTGGCGGGAAGCCTGCTTCTCCCTCTCCCACTCCCCCTGCTTGTGTTCCCTCTCTCGCTGTGTCTCTGTCAAATAAATAAAATCTTTAAAAATAAAATAAAAGATCTTCATTGATTAGAAAATATTTTGAGGGGCGCCTAGGTGGCTCACATAGTTAAGAGTCTGCCTTGGGCTCACGTCATGATCCTGGGGTCTCGGGATTGAGCCCTCTGTCAGGCTCTCTGCTCAGCGGAGAGTCTGCTTCTCCCTTTCCTCCTCCCACCCCCTACCCCGCTCATGCTCCCTGTCAAATACATAAAATCTTAGAAAATAAAAATATTTTGATAAGCGAGTATAACTTTAGGAAAACTAATAAATTATTACTTACTTTTTAACAGCTTCCAGTGCTCTCAGATCAGCAAAAAGCTAATGTAGAGGTAATTGACTTCTTTTTGCCTATAAACCGATATCAGAATCTGTATCTGCAGTCTGTCTCTTGAAATACAGCTTAATTTCAAAGTATATCAAGTTAGAGGAAACTGACAAAAGATATTTTATTCTTCATTTTAGGCAATCATGTTGGCCGTTATGAAAAAACTGACTTACGATGAAGAATATAACTTTGAAAATGAGGTAAGAATTTTACATTAGGGAGAAATCAGTTTTAATTCATTATTTACTTACCTCAAGTTAACATTTTAAGTTTTGATTATTTTAGAGTCCTTTAAAACAAAGAAGTATTTTAACAATCACTCTTGTTTATCATTGACTTCAGCCTTAGGTGAAATTAATAGAAGCTTCATAAGCCTTCATAATACCTTCAAAAAATACCTTTTTGGTATTTTGTCACTTTTTAAAACACTTTGTAGCAGTGAACTTTGTAAAATATTGACAGTATCATTGGTGATCATATCTCTGTATTTAATAAGAGTGATGAGTTGAGGCCAGGTCAGTGGACCTCAGATCATAAGTGTCTGTGGAAGAGTGGGAATGGGTCACTTAACTCTCTGGACTTGTTCCATTTATAAGTCTTGTCCAGGGTTGCCAGTGAGTCAGTTTACCCTCAAGCACAAGGATCATCAGGTGCTTTCTATCAACTCAAGCATCGCTTATACTGTTTTGCAACGTGCTAAGTGTTCAGTTGCCCACCTGAGGCATTCAAAAACCTTGGACTGTAAAAAGATAATGGTGATGATAACCAATGCATTATGCACTTACAAAGAGCCAGGCTTGTTATATATATCTTCATTCATAAGGTATTACAAGAAACGAGGAGTATGAATAAGGTGGTGAAGTTTTCATAAAGCCCAACGTGAACCCATTCTGGCTCTAGATTCTTGTCCTTAACCTCCTCCCTATACTGTTTCTGGCTCTAGGCTTTTTGAGATGTAGGGCTGTGTTCATAAATGCTTATCTGTGGGCAGTAGAGGAAAGGCTACTAAACATATTAAGTTTTTCTGTGTAAATAAATGTCAATGAAAAAAGCACGTATTAACTTTAGAAATGCAGAAAACTAACCATTTACATGAATTTTAAGGTCTTTTAAATTTTAAAATAAGAATTTAAAAATATATCTTAGGGTGAAGATGAAGCCATGTTTGTAGAATATAGAAAACAACTGAAGTTATTGTTGGACAGGCTTGCTCAAGTTTCACCAGAGTTACTGCTGGCTTCTGTGCGCAGAGTTTTTAGTTCTACACTGCAGTAAGTTTGTTACTGTTTTTGTAACGAATCTGCCTCTTTCCTTTTCTCTGTGTTGATGTTCTACAATAAATGAATCACATAATTTACTAATCTTTGTTACTTATTAAGATCTTATATGTATCTCTGAAGCAGTGCACTTGTCTCCATTTATCTTTTTTTTAATTCCAGTATAGTTAACATACAGTGTTATGTTAGTTTCAGGTGTACATTATAGTGATTCAGCAATTCTATACAATGTTGATTACTCATCATGATAAGTGTGCTCTTAATCCCCCTCATCTATTTCACTCATCCCCCCCCCCCCCCGCTCACCTCCCCTATGGTAACCATCTGTTCTCTATTGTTAAGAGTCTGTTTTTTGGTTTGTCTCTCTCTTTTTCCTCTTGGTTCATTTGTTCTGTTTCTTAAATTCCACATGTGAGTGAAATCATAGGGTATTTGTTTCTCTGACTGGCTTATTTCCCTTAGCATAATACACTATAGCTCCATCCATATCATTGTTATCTCCATTTATCATGATCCTTGTGGGGAAACACTGCTCTTTGGAATGTAAACAATGAAATGGATCACATCAGTTATTTCTACTTTTGTGGTGTAAATTTTGTTGCCTGTTAAAATTAATAATTGCTATGACTTTTTTTTTTAAGATTTTATTTATTTGACAGAGAGAGACACAGTGAGAGAGGGAACACAAGCAGGGGGAGTGGGAGAGGGAGAAGCAGGCTTCCCGCCGAGCAGGGAGCCCAATGCGGGGCTAAATCCCAGGACCCTGGGACCATGACCTGAGCCGAGGGCAGACGCTTAACAACTGAGCCACCCAGGAGCCCCAATAATTGCTATGACTTAATAATTAAAGAGACTTTTGTTGGTGTTATATAAAATGTTTATATTCAGATCTCACATACATATTCTCTTTTGGTAGGAATTGGCAGACTACACGTTTTATGGAAGTTGAAGTAGCAATAAGATTGCTGTATATGTTGGCAGAAGCTCTTCCAGTATCTCATGGTGCTCACTTCTCAGGTGATGTTTCAAAAGCTAGTGCTTTGCAGGATATGATGCGAACTGTAAGTATACTACAGATAATTTATTTTGAACATAATTTTCTGTTTTCACTATAAGCTAGTGGGAGTTCCTTAATTTAGCATCTGTTAATGCTGGGGCATTTTGATGTTACAATGAATAAGGACAGATTTCTTAACTTTTTCCTGCCCAGTTGGTAACATCAGGAGTTAGTTCCTACCAGCATACATCTGTGACATTGGAGTTCTTTGAAACTGTTGTTAGATACGAAAAATTTTTCACAGTTGAACCTCAACACATTCCATGTGTACTAGTAAGTATCCATTTATTCTCCGTTTCTGGTGGGGGGTGGATTTCCATGTATTTCAGCTAATGAGCAGATAGGATTCTGTCTTTATAACTTTTCCCAGAGCCAGAAGCTCTCAGAAACTCTTGAATATACTGAAACCAACCCCTCCTCTATTTTTTTTAAAATGGACAGTTTCTGGCTTAATCAGTCATCTAAAACAAGTCCTCAGGGGCCTGTTGGTGTCCTTAAGGGTTACTTATTTTATATACCTGGCTCCTGCCATTCAGGAGCTAAGAAGTAAAATTTGATGTGAACAAAAATACATTGTGACAATACCAATAAAAATTTTAAGTAAGTGCAGAAATAGTGAGTGACTCTGTTTCTTTAGATGGCTTTCTTAGATCATAGAGGTCTGCGGCATTCTAGTGCAAAAGTACGGAGCAGAACTGCTTACCTGTTTTCCAGATTTGTCAAATCTCTGAAGTAAGTACTAAATGTCAACTGTTCTGTTTACTTTTTGTTTTTAAGATTGTTAAATGAGACCTATAAATTATTTTCTAAAAGCCTGTGGTAGATTTGGGTTTTGTTCTAAGGCTTTTTATTAGGTTTTCTTTTTTGGTATCATGTTATGACTTCTTTTACTGTTCATTAGCCAGGTTCATCACTGCAAAATGATTTGTTTGCATACTTTTATATGTAATACCTGTCATCACTAATGACATTAATTATTTATTTAACAGTTTTATTGCTGTGGATTACTCTATGGCTTCTTTGAAATTCTAAAGAATATATTTCTTGGAAATAAATTTTTTGACCTTTCTGTTTTGTATTGTTTTTACTAGTACCATTTTCTTGGCATGAAAACTACTTGTTCTTAGGTATATAAGGTTGTAATTTTTTAAAATCCTAGCTTGTCTTAATGATTACATCTGACTAGGTTAGAATTGAACCTTTTTTTAGTTCCATCCTTTTTAAAAGGGAATTTGGTATTTTGAGCACAATGGTTTACATAATTGTGATTTTCCTTTTTTGCCTTTATTCAGTAAACAAATGAATCCTTTTATTGAGGATATTCTGAATAGAATACAAGATTTACTAGAGCTTTCTCCACCTGTAAGTATTTATCTTTCCAAATTACAGATTTTCCCCAAGTATCATTGATGCCACACATGCCTTTAGCCTTTAATGCTAATGCCTTGTGGGCAGTTTTCTTTTTTTTTTGTTTTTTGTTTTTTGTTTTTGTTTTAAAGATTTTATTTATTTATTTGAGAGAGAGAATGAGATAGAGAGAGAGCATGAGAGGGGGGAGGGTCAGAGGGAGAAGCAGACTCCCTGCTGAGCAGGGAGCCCGATGCGGGACTCGATCCCGGGACTCCAGGATCATGACCTGAGCTGAAGGCAGTCGCTTAACCAACTGAGCCACCCAGGCGCCCTGTGGGCAGTTTTCTTAATGGTGGATGGTGGTGGCAGGGATGAGGGGTTGTATACAAGGATTAGTTAGTTCTGTTTACCAAAATTCTGTTGCGATTAGCAAACAAAGCATAGTAATAGAATTAATAAAAATGGAGGGGCGCCTGGGTGGCACAGTCAGTTAAGTGTTTTTCTGCTTGGGTCATAATCTCAGGTTTGTGGAATCGAGCCCCCCATCGGGCTCTTCACTCAATGCAGAGTTTGCTTGAGTTTCTCTCTCCCTCTCCCTCTGTCCCCCCCCCCAATAAATAAATAAATCTTAAAAAAAATAAAAAATGGAAAAGAGTTGACTGATAAATTTGGCAGAGTGAGATATGGTCTGCTCTCTGTTAAATGCCGAAGTAGTTTATGGAGAAGGAAAAATCGAATTTCTAAACTATTTCCTGTTCAGTATAAGATCATATTAGCCATTCTAAGTGACTGTTACCATTAGATTGACTTTTGAGGGGTAATTTAAGGCTTTGGGTAAAGGTTAAATGCTGGTTGATATTTTGGTATTCATTTCACAAGAAATACTTAAGTTGAGATACTTTGTAACTATGTTTTAACTTCTACATGTTTTTGTATACTGACATTGACTTATTTTTTTCATTTTGATAGAATTGCTACTAGAGCAGCCACTTGAGAAATGTTAACATAAAAATACTTTTATTCTTTTAAGTAAATATTAGTATTTAGAGTATAGTGGTTACATAATTTCACTGCATGAAAGATTACTAATGAATTATATGGTTAAATTATTTTTGCATATTACAAAAACCTATATATTAAAGTATTTCATCTGATTAATGCCAATTTTCCCTGGCAGTTCGCACTGACCTATAAGACTTAGGCATTCAGAAAGTCCTCATGCACCTGGGTGGCTCAGTCCATTAAGCATCTGACTCTTGATCTCAGCTTAGGTCTTAAATCACAGCGTTGTGAGTTCAAGCCCCGTGTTGGGCTCCACGCTGGCATGGAGCCTACTTAAAAAGGAAAAGTACTATTTAGCCATATTATCCTATCAATATTAGAAGTTTTTCATGTTTTTTATACCATTCATATAAAGAAGGGCTTGTACTATACCCATAATCTCTTTTTAGTATAAAAAAAGGTTTTGTTCAAATTGCTTTTACCAGATGTTGTCTGCTTAATAGGGTTTTGAGTATCCATTTTTTAAGTTCCTTATATAGCTACTTTATCTTTGTGTTCTCAACTGCTACAGGAGAAATTAGTCTTAGTGGTACTTAAATGCTTTAGCTACTTTTATATAGGGACATGCTTCTTTTAATAGATGAGGATTTTTTTTTTTTAAGATTTATTTATTTTAGAGAGAGAGTGTGAGTTGGAGGAGGAAGAGCATCTCAAGCAGACTCCCTGCCAAGCACAGATCCTGATGTGGGGCTCGATCCCACAACCCTGAGATTATGACCAGAGCCTAAATCAAGAGTCAGATCCTCAACTGACTGAGCCACCCAGGTGCCCCTAGATGAGGTTTTCATTATATAAAATCACCACATAATTTATGTTGTAAGTCTAGATTTTTTCTTTACGATTTTATTCATTTGAGACAGAAGAGAGCATGAGCAGGGGGAGTGGCAGGCAGAAGCAGGCTGCCCACTAAGCAAGCAACCTGATGTGGGACTTGATCCCAGGACTCTGGGATCATGACGTGAGCCGAACGCAGACGCTTAACCGACTGAGCCACCCAGGCGCCCCTCAAAGCACCTTTGTACATCTCATTTCTATTCTCGTAACAGTTGTACAAATAAGATTTTTACAAAAGAGAACAAGTTAGGGGCGCCTAGGTGGCTCAGTTGGTTGAGCGACTGCCTTCGGCTCAGGTCATGATCCTAGAGTCCCAGGATCGAGTCCCACACTGGGCTTCCTGCGAGGTGGGGAGTCTGCTTCTCCCTCTGACCCTCTCCCTTCTCATGCTCTCTATCTCTCATTCTCTCAAATAAATAAAATCTTTAAAAAACAAGAGTGAGAACAAGTTAGAAGGCTAACTAAAATTTTCTATGATAATTTGCAAAGTTTTATCAAGGGTAGAATTAGACCCATGACCTTTTGACCTCGAATCCAGTTTTCTTTCCATTATATGGTCCTAGGAGAAAATTTGTTTTTTATAAGTACTTGATCTACTTTTTAATAATGCGTTGATGTGATTATATCTCCTATTCCTATTGGACTTACTGTGCTTAAATGAGAGGAACTGAATGAACAATGATAAACACCAATAGGACTAAATTTCTTTCTAGGAGAATGGTTACCAGTCTTTGTTGAGCAGTGATGATCAGCTGTTTATTTATGAGACAGCCGGAGTGCTGATTGTTAATAGTGAATATCCAGCTGAACGGAAACAAGCCTTGATGAGAAATCTTTTGACCCCACTAATGGAGAAGTTTAAAATTCTGTTAGAAAAATTGATGCTGGCACAAGATGAAGAAAGACAGGCATCACTAGCAGACTGTCTGAACCATGCTGTTGGATTTGCCAGGTGAGTGTGATTATAATTACAATTGTAAATTGAGTGTCTGTGCACACACAGAACCATTTACTTGGATCTTTTAGAATTACGCACACACATCCATGTTTTGAAAACTGAATTGTCGAGAGAATTATCCAAACCTTTCTTCTCTAAATCCAGTGAATTAGAAGATTTGGCTGAAGAAGGGAATAGATCACATAATATTCTGCCTTTCTGGTTTGACAACTGTCTAAATCCTTAACTCTTCTGACTTCTTTAGTATAAATTGATCATGTATTTAGGGGATTAGCTGAAAAGTTTTTGTTTTTGTTTTTCAAAAGATTGTATTTATTTGTCAGAGAGAGAAAGAGAGCACAAGCAGGGGGAGCGGCAGGCAGAGGGAGAAGCAGGCTCCCCGCTGAGCAAGGAGCCTGACGGGCTCAATCCCAGTACCCTGGGATCATGACCTGAGCCGAAGGCAGATGCTTAACCGACGGAGCCACTCAGGCATCCCTAGCTGGAGAGTTTATATAAACAGTGACATATTGGGACATCTTGGCTCAGTCTTGGTACTGATAAAGTCTTGAGGCTTCTTTTTAGCTCTCTCATTGTGTCCTGAAGACTACCCAAGCTGTCTTTTCTTTCTCTCTGCCCATACATTTTATTGGCAAACAAAACAGTATGGAAGTTGTAGTAATTGCTAATAAGCTGCACAAAGAAATTGCTGTATAGAATACTTCAGTACAAAAACTAATGTTAGGTCGTATAAATAACTTGATTCTAAGGATTTTTTCTAAATTTAAATCAGTAGTTTGCAGATTGTCTAGTACAGCCCAGTCGTAGCAGTGGGTTTTTTTTTCTTTTCTGCATACTTCATCAGTAGGATTTTAGTAAAACATTTAGGTGGGTTCTCATTAGAAGGCTTATATTAATTACCTCTCACTCATTTAATTTGAACCCTTTCTGGAATGGCACCTGGAAGCAATAGTATATAAATAACCATATTAGCGAAAGATGGAAGCAGTCATGTCATAGAAACTAAATAATTGGCTTCTTAGTTTTGTCGATTGTGTAATTGGTTGTGCATTATTTTTCATTACTCCATAAAACTTTTATTAAAGCCTAAAGTTAAAACTAGTTGCCTGATTTTGCTTGTGTAGCCGAACCAGCAAAGCTTTCAGCAACAAGCAGACTGTGAAACAGTGTGGCTGTTCCGAAGTTTATCTGGATTGTTTACAGACATTCTTGCCAGCCCTCAGTTGTCCCTTGCAAAAGGATATTCTCAGAAGTGGAGTTCGTACTTTCCTTCATCGCATGATTATTTGCCTAGAGGAAGAAGTTCTTCCATTCATCCCGTCTGCCTCAGAACACATGCTCAAAGATTGTGAAGGAAAAGACCTCCAGGAGTTCATTCCTCTTATCAACCAGATTACAGCCAAATTTAAGGTACCACAGACCTATGGGCTCAGAGAATCTCCTGACTGACAAATTAGATCTATTGATCTTTAGATACATTTTGGCATTTGCCCTTGGGTTTGTTTTTTTTTTAATCTAAGTCACTTGAGGGCATGGAGTATAGATATTGTTGTCCTCTCCAGTGTCCAGCACACTGCCTGACACATAGACCATGTTGAATGGTTGTTTTAATCAAAACAAACCTTATCTGCCCTGTGCAGAAGAAAACAGTCTGCTCTTTGCAAATGAAAGTAGCATTGAGGACTAAAATATCTTGAGGTAAATAAAAACTTTGTAACTTGGGTGCCCAAACAGGAGTTTGAAATTCATTCATTGTATTTTTTTTTTTTTTAAGATTTTATTTATTTATTTGAGAGAGAATGAGATAGAGAGAGAGCATGAGAGGGGGGAGGGTTTCAGAGGGAGAAGCAGACTCCCTGCTAAGCAGGGAGCCCGATGCGGGACTCGATCCCGGGACTCCAGGATCATGACCTGGGCCGAAGGCAGTCGCTTAACTAACTGAGCCACCCAGGTGCCCTAAAAATAAATTTATGTTTAATGCGTACTCTAAGTATTGATTTTCAGCCATTTTATTTTATTTATTTTTTTATTTTTTTAAAGATTTTATTTATTTGACAGCGAGAGACACAGTGAGAGAGGGAACACAAGCAGGGGAAGTGGGAGAGGGAGAAGCAGGCTCCCAGCCAGGCAGGGAGCCCGATGCGGGGCTCGATCCCAGGACCCTGGTATCATGACCTGAGCTGAAGGCAGACGCCTAACAACTGAGCCACCCAGGCACCCCTCATTCATTGTATTAAAGTCAGTTTTATTGTACAAGGAAATGTAAACCAAGTATAAGCTGGCTGATAAAAATGGCTAACGCATAGTGCTTTCTGTTCAAAATCCATTTTAAAGCCTTTTTTTGTACGTTAATTCATTTGATCCTCCTAAAAGCCCTAGCAAGAACTGTTGTATTTTATAGACGAAGAAATTGAGACCGAGAAATTAAGCAATTTGAATCGAGGCACAAAAAGTCTTGAGAGCCCAATCATATAAATTCTACTTGTAATTTAGCAATAGAATTCATTTCTTGATAATTTAAATTTGAAAATATTCTATGGTGTTATTCAATTGTGAAATACATCTGAATCCCTATTATTTTAACGTGAATCTTGAACTGTAAGAAATGAGTTGAACTTAACAATTTTGAAGATTTCAATAATATATATGCGTAATAATAGATTTTTGTCCTAATACTGGTATTTGCCAACAGAATTATGTAAATATATATCCTAACTGGAAACACTGGATAAAGGCTTTATGTAAAATGTGGTTTTCTAAGCTTCATATTAATATTTATCTTTTACATTTCTAAATAATTTTTGTTTTTTATCTTCAGATACAGGTATCTCCATTTTTACAGCAAATGTTCATGCCTCTACTTCATGCAATTTTTGAGGTATTGCTCCGACCAGCAGAAGAAAATGACCAGTCTGCTGCTTTAGAGAAGCAAATGTTACGAAGGAGTTACTTTGCTTTCCTGCAAACTGTCACAGGCAGTGGAATGAGTGAAGTCATAGCAAATCAAGGTGGGACGCTGAGATTATCTGCTTCAGGCCTTGTAGCCGTTGTACGTCAGTATGAGCAAGAGCTAGTTGAAGTAAATACCAAACTTTTAAAGTGGTTGTATGTTTGCCTCTGAGGTGACAGTTCATTATCATCAAGGTGGGAATCAATTTCATGTAGAGGATCTACCTTAAAATTAATTTGTATTCAGTTCCCTTTTTCCTAGGGCAGTATTCTTTAATTGATCCCTCAGTAGTATAAATAGCATGGTGGCAGCTTGCCAGCATTGACCTGACAGATGAGTCTTACTGGCCAGTTTGCTATTTTGAAATTAAAAATAAATGGGACTGTATCGATCAACATAGAGAATTTTGCTATACAAGAAATCCAGAGGGCAAAATAACATGGGACTAGTTACTTTTCAGTGTTTTATGCTTAAAATTTAGGAGCCAAGTTAATAAAAATTGAGGGATCTGGGATGCCTGGGTAGCTCAGTCAGTTAGGCGTCTGCCTTTGGCTCAGGTCATGATCCCGGGGTCCTGGGATCAAGTCCTGTGTCGGCCTCTCTGCTCAGCAGGGAGTCTGCTTCTCCCTCTCACTCTCCCTCTGTGCTCTCCCTCTCTGTCAAATAAGTAAATAAAATCTAAAAAAGAAAAAAAAATTGAGGGATCTTACCAATTCCATAAATGCTTTTGTCTTGTTACACTACATGAAGTGAGAACTTCACATTCTACAAAGCCAGCATTACCTTGATTCCAAAACCAAAGACCCCACTAAAAAGGAGAATTATAGGTCAATGTCCCTGATGAACATGGATGCAAAAGTTCTCAATAAAATCCTAGCAAATCAAATTCAATAGTACATTAAAAGAGTTAGTCACCACATTCAAGTAGGATTTATTCCTGGGTTTCAGGGGTGGTTCAGTATTTGTAAGTCAATCAGTGTGATACACGATATTAATAAAAGAAAGGGTAAGAACTATATGATCCTGTCAATAGACGCAGAGAAAGCATTTGACAAAATATAGCATCTTTTCCTGATAAAAATCCTCAACAGTGGGCACCTGGGTGGCTCAGATGTTTGAGCTTCTGCTTTCTGCTGGGGTCATGATCTGCATATCCTGGGATCGAGCCCCATGTCGGGCTCCCAGCTCAGCGGGGAGTCTGCTTCTCCTTCTGCCTCTCCCCCTGCTTGTGTTCTCAATCTCAAATGAATAAATAAAATCTTAAAAAAAGAAAAAATCCTCAACAAAGTAGGGATAAAGGTAACATACCTCAACATCATAAAGGCCATATACGAAAGATCCACAGCTAATAGCATCCTCGATGGTGAAAAACAGAGCCTTTCCCCTACGGTCAGGAACAAGACAGGGATATCCACTCACCATTACTATTTAACATAGTAGTGGAAGTCTTAGCCTCAGCAATCAGACGACACAAAAATAAAAGGCATCCAGAATGGCAAGGTAGAAGTCAAACTTTCACTATTTGCAGACAACATGATACTCTATGTAGAAAACCTGAAAGACTCCACCAAAAAATGGCTAGAACTCATATAGGAATTCATTCAGCAAAGTCACAGGATATAAAATCAATGTGTAGAAATCTGTTGCATTTCTATATGCCAATAACAAAGCAGCAGAAAAAGAAATCAAGGAATCAGTCCCATTTGCAATTGCATCAAAAACAATAAGATACCTAGGAACAAATCTAAAGAAGTAAAAGATCTATACTCCGAAAACTATAAAACACTTATAAAAGAAATTGAGGACACAAAGAAATGGAAAAGCATTCCATGCTCGTGGATTGGAAGAACAAACATTGTTAAAATGTCTATATTGCCCAAAGCAATCTAGATATTTAATGCAATCCCCATCAAAATACCACCAGCATCTTTCACAGAGTTAGAAAAAACAATACTAAAATTTATATGGAACCACAAAAGACCCTGAATAGCCAAAGCAATTCTGAAAAAGAAAACCTGGATGGAGGCATCACAGTTCGGGTTTTTAAGTTATATTACAAAGCTGCAGTCATGAAGATAGTATAGTACTGGCATAAAAACACACATAGATCAATGGAACGGAATAGAAAACCCAGAAATGGACCCACAACTATATGGTCAACCGATCTTCGACAAAGCAGGAAAGAATAACCAATGGAAAAAAGACAATCTCTCCAACAAACGGTGTTGGGAAAACTAGACAGCCACATGCAGAAGAATGAAACTGGACCACTTTCTTACATCATACACAAAAATAAATTCAAAATGGATGAAAGACCCAAATGTGAGACGGGAAACCATCAAAATCCTAGAGGAGAATAAAGGCAGAAACCTCTTTGACCTCAGCCATAGCCACTCCTTACTAACACATCACCACAGGTAAGGAAACAAAAGCAAGAATGAACTATTGGGACTTCATCAAGATAAAAAGCTTCTGCACAGCCAAGGAAATAGTCGACAAAACCAAAAGACAATCGACAGAATGGGAGAAGATATTTGCAAATGTCTTATCAGATAAAGGCTAGTATCCAAAATCTATAAAGAACTTAACAAACTCAACACCCAAAGAACACATAACCCAATTAAGAAATGGGCAGAAGACATGATGAGACACTTTTCTAAAAATGACATCCAGATGGCTCACAGACACATGAAAAGATGCCCAACATCAGTCATCATCAGGGAAATGCAAATCAAAACCAGATGAGATAACCATCTCACACCTGTCAGGATGGCTAAAATTAACACAAGAAACAACAGGTGTTGGCAAGGATGTGGAGAAAGGGGGACCCTCTTGCACTATTAGTGGGAATGCAAACTGGTGCAGCAATTCTGGAGAACAGTATGAAGGTTCCTCAACAAGTTAAAAATGGAGCTACCCTATGATCCAGCAATTGCAGTACTAGGTATTTACCCGAAGGATACAAAAATGCAGATTCGAAGGGATCCATGCACCTGGATATTTATAGCAGCGTTATCAACAGTAGCCAAACTATGAAGAGAGCCCAAATGACTGATGTATGGATAAAGAAGATGTGGTATATAACAATGGAATGTTAGTTTACCATCAAAAAGAATGAAATCTTGCCGTTTACAATGACATGGATGGAGCTAGAGTGTACTCTTAGAGTGTATTCTAAGTGAAATAAGTCAGAGAAAGACAAATACTGTATGATCTCACTCGTGGAATTTCAAAAACATGAACATATGGGAATGGGTTAAAAAGGAGAGAGCAAAAGAAGCTATAAAAGACTCAACAGTAGATAAACAAGGTTGATGGAGGGAGGTGGGTGGGGAATGGGCTAGATGGGTGATGGGTATTAAGGAGGGCACTTAGTTATGAAGAGCACTGGGTGTTGTATGTAAGTGATGAATCACTGAATTATATGCCAGAAACCAATATTGCACTGTATGTTAACTACCTAAGATTTAAATTAAAAAAATCATAACTTAAAATTTTAAAAAATAAATAAAAATAAAAGTGAATTACCCAAAAATAAAAATTAAAAGAAACAATGAGGCGTGCCTGGATGGCTCAGTCAGTTAAGCGTTTATGATCCTGGAGTCCCAGCATCAAGCTCCATGTCAGACTCCTTGCTCGGAGGGGAGTCTGCTTCTGCCTCTGCCCCTCCCCGTGCTCCATTTCTCTCTCTCTCTCTCTCTCTCCAATAAATAAATAAAATCTTTTAAAAAAAAGGAAAAGAGGGCGCCTGGGTGGCTCAGTTGGTTAAGCGACTGCCTTCGGCTCAGGTCATGATCCTGGAGTCCCGGGATCGAGTCCCCCATCAGGCTACCTGCTCAGTAGGGAGTCTGCTTCTCCCTCTCCCGCTCCCCACTCTTGTGCTCTCTCTCTCTCTCTCTCAAATAAATAAATCTTAAAAAAAAAAAAAAAAGTAAAAGAAACAATGAAGTGAGTGCTTCAGGTTGCCTTTCTAGTTCTTTTTAAAATTAAGCTTAGGGCACCTGAGTGTCTCAGTCCATTAAGTGTTGGACTCTTGGTTTCGGCTCAGGTCATGATCTCCGGATTGTGAGATGGAGCCCCACGTCAGGTTCCCTGTTCATTGGGGAGTCTACTGGAAGATTCCCCCCCTCCCCCCACTCATGCTCTCTCTCTCTCTCTCTCTCTAAAATAAATCTTTAAAATTAAATCAAGTTTTGGGGCGCCTGGGTGGTTCAGTCATTAAGCGTCTGCCTTCGGTTCAGGTCATGATCCCAGGGTCCTGGGATCGAGCCCCGCATCGGGCTCCCTGCTCAGCGGGAAGCCTGCTTCTCCCTCTCCCTCTCCCCCTGCTTATGTTCCCTCTCTTGCTGTGTCTCTCTCTGTGGTAAGTAAATAAAATCTTAAAAAAATAATAAAAATAAAAAAAATTAAATCAAGTTTTTATTTCTCTTCAGGTGCAGAGAATGTAGAACGAGTGCTGGTTACTGTTATCCAAGGAGCAGTTGAATATCCAGATCCAATTGCACAGAAGACATGTTTTATCATCCTCTCCAAGTTGGTAGAACTCTGGGGTAAGAGGATTAAAAATAAATAAGTAAAAACAAAAAACTTCATTCCACAACCTGTTTCCTAAGACCCTTAGAGATGGAACCCTAGCTCTAACATAGGAGCTGGGAGTTAACTTTCTCCAGTGATAACTAATTGACTTTCTTTTTATACAAGATGAAAATTTGAATTCTCTTGACAGGAGGTAAAGATGGACCAGTGGGATTTGCTGATTTTGTTTATAAGCACATTGTTCCTGCATGTTTCCTAGCACCTTTAAAACAAACCTTTGACCTGGCAGATGCACAAACAGTGTTGGTAAGCACCTAGGAATCTTTGTTTGCCTTGTGTCCATCTTGTGTATTCTAACTCACAATTTCTTTAATGCCAGGTTGACTATATTAGTCTCATTGCCATTATTTTTTTAAAATTAATTTCAAATTAGGATTCATTTTTAAAAGGTTGATGGTATCTTCTGGACCTTTTGTAGATTCTTACTGAATCCTGATACTAAAGTTTAAAATATAAAATCCAACTCCTTCAACTTTAACAGCCTCCAACTCCTCTTTTCCTAGGACCATGAAAGGGTACATGATACAAGCACTCATTAAAACTTGATTGAGTTACTAATTTTCTACTACTTTCATTCTAAACTTTACGCTTAATGGTTTTTTCTTAACCATTAAGAGTAACTTTTTTTTGCTTAGATGATAGTTTCCCTAGATCTCATTTTTTCAGAATACTTGTGTCAAGCAGTGCCCTTTACTCATTTACCCAAAACCTAGTAAAAACTAGATTTTATGATTTGATATACTGCATTAAGACAGCATTTTTGTATTTTTTCCTTTTTCTATCCAACCCACTTATTCCATATGCCTGTCCCTTTCCTTCCTCTGTCCCTTGTTTGGGAGTAATTGTTAATGAACAGTGGCCAGGGAAATAAAGAGACAAGTGGGATCGGTAACCAAAAATTGAGTGTATTAAAAATCTCACCCTTGTTTTTCATAGGCTTTATCTGAGTGTGCGGTGACATTGAAAACAATTCATCTCAAACGGGTAAGCCTTGCACTCTGTGCCCCTTCGTTTTCGTCATAAATGCAGATTTGTTATGGTTTTAATTGTGTTTGACTTGTCTCGTTGCTGTATCTTTTGTAAAAGTTGATTTAGTCCTGTCTTTTTTGGACGTGAGGAAGGGGTTGAATGAAAGCGGTATCTATTACTGTCCTTTCTGTTTTGGGTAACAAGAAGTTTAAAATGTATGTTCATTTTGGTTTGACAAAGAATGCAAAAAATTCTAAAAAAGATCCACATTTCATGACTCATTTGGCTCTTCATAGCCAGATTTCCCCAAATTCTTAATATTATAAATGGTTAGAGTGCTTCGCTACTTTAGAATGTTTTGTTCTCCTTGTCAATCTGATCATTTGCAAAATTGTAAGTGATTCTGGGCTGAATCCAGCTGGTGAGTTGTTTATCTTGTACAGTATTTTTTAGTAACATGAATTTGATTGTAAACATTTAAAAATCAGGTATTGGGGCGCCGGGCTGGCTCAGTCAGTGAGCATGCAGCTCTTGATTTCAGGATTGTGAGTTTGAGCCCCATGTTGGGCATGGAGCCTACTTAAAAAAATAATAAAATTTTAAAAATAAAAATCAGGTACTTTTTTTAAAAAAGAAAAATTCCTATCTCCAGCTTTTTTCAAAGCCAGGATGCCAACAAAGGATTCGCATTCCCACAGAGCAGCTTGCCCCACCCCCCAAAAAAGTATTCACCAGTCTCCATGCAGTCCACTCCCTCATTTGAACTTGAGTTTTGATTCTGATACAGATTTGAAGGGTTTTATGCCTACTATGCCAGGGTGAAGAGTATGTGGGGACTGGGGGGGAGGGGAGGGCAGCAGGGGAGCTGTATAAAGATGAATTAAGTTTAAAAGTCCCCCAATATTGTTTTTTTTATTTTATTTTTTTTTACAAACACTTGTGTCGAGGGCTGACTTACAATAGATGGCAGCAAGGGAGCTGCTAGTCCCCCAATATTTTTAGGACTTAGAAACGGGACACAATGTGTAAATAACTCAATGTGTTAAGTACTTGAATAGAGATACGTTAAATTAATATGTCTATATTAAATGTAATATTGTGAGACTAAAGATGAGCAAGCAATTTTGCTTATGTTGGCAATCTAAGAAAGCCATAGGAAAGAAGTGGTTTTGGTTTTGGTTTTTGATAGGCCTTAGGACACATGTAGACTCATTGGACTGACAATAGGAGCTGTCATTCTGGGCAAAGTTAAGCAGGTATATGAAGATAGAGCAGATGTTGCCTTGTGGATTTGATAGAAAATAATAGAATTATCCTGTTTAGCTGAAGTAGGGAGGTAGAAGTAATAGCTAAAAAGTAGAATAGGATTAGGTAGTAAAAAGCTTTGTGTTATATATGAAAAGTTGGGAAGTCAGTGGGCACTAGGGTTATAATTTAGTATAACTTGGAAGCATATTCAGAGAGCAGTTTGGAATATGGGTCTGAAGCAATTAGAACTAAATACTGATTTTGGAGTCCACAGTGTGTAGTCAAGGTGAAGTGGTAGGAATGAATGAGACTTTCTAAGACCAGAATAGAAAAAACCCTGGCTAAAGCAGGAGTCAAGAGAAAGCTAGAAGTAGAACCAAGAGGTACGAATGATAAGAGAAAAGACTCATAAGAGAGGATGCTAGAAAGTCAAGGAGGGGGCCGCCTGGCTGGCTTAGTTGGTAGAGCATGCAACTCTTGATATTGGGGTCGTGAGTTCAAGCCCCACGTTGGGCATAGGGCTTACTTTAAAAAAAAAAGAGAGAGAAAAGGTAAGAAATCAACTATACTTTAAATAAATAACTTACATTTCACAGTGAAATGCAGCAAAAACAAAACAAAACCGAAAAAAACCCAAAATGTGAGAAGGAATGTAGAACAGATCTGAGAAGCTTTCACAAACAGTGCATTGTTAGCTCTTCTGAATTAGGAATAGCTTTCCTTTGAGAGGGCATCAAATTATGCCATAGGACCATTGAGTTAGAGGGGCAGGGACCAGGGTGGAAGGAGAAACATGAATTCTTTGATTCAGGAGTATTATTAAACAGGAAATTCAAGTGTTAAGGCAGGGAAAAGTGCATTGAGGAGAGATGGATTGATATATATATATATTTTTTTTTGGATGATGATGGTTTCATTTTGATAACTGTTACTTTCAGTTGGACCAGGGTTGGAGTCATCAACATATTAAAATCTTTAAATCAGACTCAGGTTTGAAAGTGAGGGGTGTGTGTGTGTGTGTGTGTGTGAGAGTGAGAGAGAGAAGTACTGGATTTATTACATTTGCTTCAGGCCACTCTCTCAAACACATTGCTATAAGAAAACCATTTTCAAATTGTATCCTAAGTTCCTTTGCAGCTTCTGAGAAGGGGCAGGGATTTGGGAAGTTTACTAAAAAAAGAAACAAAAACAGAACACTATTGTAATTTTTAGCATCTAGAAGTGCTAAAAGATGGCAGACAAGAGCAATGGTTTTAGAAATCAGATGACCTGCTTTTCAGTACAGATGAAATCAACAGCACACTGGGCAAATCACCCTATCTTTCTCAGTCTTGGTTTCCTCATTTGGCTGCTTAATTCCTGTTCCATGATGGTCAAACAGGAAAAAGGGAGGTGTACTTTTATTGCTATTATCTCTTAACATATCATTTTGTTATTTCTTGCTTGTATTTTAGTTTCTCAAGATGGTTACTACCCTACACTTGCCCAAAGGCTTCCCCTCATGTACCTGCAGACACCATATAATCCACCCAGGGGTAGATTGAACAAGAGCACCTCTGTTTGCTGTCTTCTTTCAGTGCTTGGAAGACTCTGGCTTTGTTACTTCCCTGATTTAGAAGAATATTTGTTTAATCTTCACTATATAATGCTAAGTAATGTTAACATGTAATGAATGCTAAACACTATTCTAAAAGCTTTATATTTCTTAACTCATCCACTCCTCACAGTAACTCCCAATTTTCAGATGGGGAAACTCAGGCTCAGAGAGATTAAGTAACCTGCTCAAGTTACCAGAAATTTACCAGAGCCAGGCCTCAAACCAAAGCAGTCTGGCTCCAGACTATATTCTTTTTTTTTAAGATTTTATTTATTTATTTGACACAGACACAGCAAGAGAGGGAACACAAGCAGGGAGAGCGGCAGGGAGAGGGAGAAGCAGGGCTCCCACCGAGCAGGGAGCCCAATACAGGGCTCGATCCCAGGACCCTGGGATCATGACCTGAGCCGAAGGCAGACACTTTACAACTGAGCCACCCAGGTGCCCCTCCAGACTAATTCTTAATCACAATACCATATTGTGTTTGATGTATACATGTGTCATTCTAATTTCTTTTTATGCATTATTAATATCAAGAAAATAATTCAGTTATAATTAATTATCTTTTGATTTTCAGGGCCCAGAATGTGTTCAGTATCTTCAACAAGAATACCTGCCTTCCTTGCAAGTAGCTCCAGAAATAATTCAGGTAAGAGCTGTCAGAGCAGGTGTTTCTCTTAATTTAATTAAAGAAATAGGACTATGTAGTTCAATCTAAATTTTGATTCAACAAAGTTAAACTGAAAAAAAGAAAAGAAAAAGTTAAACTGCATTCAACTTGATGTTTTACTATATACAGGATCACAGAGTTCAGACTTCAGGGGTATATGAAATTGAATGGGAGAAAATTATATTTTTATTTTCACTAACCTTTAACCAAAAGCTTAATTTCCTACCATTGTGTAGGTGACAAATCACAAAACACAGTAGCATTCGCATTGCCTGTGACTTTGTCACCAGTAGAAATCACAGATTTTTTGTGTCACATTAGTTGTTCCAGGGATCTCACAATCCTGTTTATACTTCAAGATACTGAAATTGTGAGTTCTTAAGATACACCACCAGACCTTGTTATCTGAGTCAGTAAGTCTTACTATTCTAGCACATATCAAAGATACTTTTTGATAACCATAAGCCATTATAATTAGTTTTCTTTGTAATCCCATGTATTATAAATTTTAAAAAATGGGGGCGCCTGGGTGGCTCAGTCAGTTGGGCGTCTGCCTTCAGTTCTGGTCGTGATCTCAGGGTCCTGGGATCCAGCCCCGCATTGGGCTCCCCCTCAGCGGGGAGTCTGCTTCTCCCTCTGCCTCTCACCCTGCTCTCTCTCTCTCTCAAATAAATAAAATCTTTAAAAATAATAATAATAGATTTTTTTTAATGTTTTATTTATTTATTCATGAGAGTTAGAGAGAGAGAGAGACAGAGGAAGAAGCAGGCTCCCCGCCTAGCAGAAAGCCCAATGTGGGACTCGATCCCAGGACCCTGGGATTATGACATGAGCCGAAGGCAAACGCTTAACCATCTGAGCCACCCAGGCGCCCAGTAGATTTTTTTTTTAATATTTTATTTGTTTATTTGACAGAGAGAGACACAGTGAGAGAGTGAACACAAGCGGGGGAAGTGGGAGAGGGAGAAGCAGGCTTTCCGCCAAGCAGGGAGCCCGATGTGGGGCTCGATCCTAGGACCCTGGGCCCATGACCCGAGCCGAAGGCAGATGCTTAACGACTGAGCCACCCAGGCGCCCCAATAATAATAGATTTAAAAAAAAATTCTAAAAGGAGTCCAGTAGGCTCCCCCAGACTGCCAAAGGGCACCACAACACACAAACCTACTGTGAAGATTGGTGCTAGGTAGTCTATTTTACATATGCCAAGCTTATCAATGCTTAATTTTTAAATCTGAAACCATATTGTGAAGTATCTGGAAAGCGATGTTACATTTTTACACTATTGCAGAGTAATTTTTTTAATGGCATTCAGTGATTTTCTTGGCGTGTAGTTATCCAGACTTGTCCAATAGCACATAGATCTAATTGAGATATCAGAGATGTTTTGTTGTTGTTGTTGTTTTAAGATTTTATTTGACAGAGAGCAAGCACGAGTAGGGGGAGCCCAATGGAGGGCTCAATCTCAGGACCCTGGGATCATGACCTAGCCTAAGGCAGACGCTTAACGACTGAACCACCCAGGCACCCCTTAAAGTTTTGATTACAAATCTCTCCATCAGATTCTAAGAATTGGTTCTTCACCAACAGTGTTTTTAAAAAGTTTTTATAATGCTATTTTATGAAAGACATTGAAAAAATTGGATGAAAACTAGTATAGATCTTGCATAAGAGTGATCATAAAACTCATTTTTAATGAATTTATGATCTCTTATTTCATGACATACCATCTTTAACTTTAAAGGTATTAATGGATTTTCTCAGCTTTAATTTGTTATATAAGTAATGTTTTAATGAAAGCAGTAAGTTACTAATTACTCACATGAGCTTAATGCCCATCAAAAATAGAAATATACCAGATTGCTAAGTAAAGCAAAATTATATTTCCATCTAATAATTTGATTATAAAAAATAAGCATCCCTAGTTTTCCCTTTTTCATATGCCTTCTGACAACACTTTGCAGAATTCTGTTAGAGAGACTTAACCTCTTTTTCTTTTGGTCAAGCTCTGCTCAGTTACCACTCTTATTAGGTGAGAACAGTCAGAGCAATGTAGTTTTTGTCCTATTCTCCCTTCTCAGGCATGAGTCAACCTTGTTTAGGAGAGCCATGTTCTCAAAAGTGAAAGCAGCCTATATCTGACAAGTATTACATTTGAAAATGCCATAGAACCTTTTTTGGTGAGGAACTATTCTAGGTGACTTTGATAAGTTATCATATTACTACTATAGATTTAAAGCAACTTAAATGCCTTTTGACAGATGAATGGATAAGTAAGATGTAGTATATACATACAGTGGGATATTATTCAGCCTTAAAGGACATCCTGTCACATGTACAACGTGAATGAACCTTGAGGACATTATGCTAAGTGAAATAAGCCAGTCACAAAAAGAGAAATACTGCATAATTCCACCTGTATGAAGTATCTATAGTCCAACCCTTAGGAACAGAAAGTAGAATGGTGGTGGCCAGGGGTGTTGGGGAAGGGAAATGGAATTGATGTTCAATGGGTATAGTTTCAATTTTACAAGATGAAAAGTTCTAGAGATCTGTTGCACAACAGTATGCATATAGTTAATGGTAATGCACCGTACATACAAAAATGGTGGTTAAGATGGTCAGTTATATGTTTGTTTTTTTTTTTTTAACACAATTCAAAAAAGAAAACTGTGGATTTGAATTACCGTGAATTTAGTACAATTAGATTCATTCTCTTTCTCTCCTCCTATCTTGACCCCTCAGGAGTTTTGTCAAGCGCTTCAGCAGCCTGATGCTAAAGTTTTTAAAAATTACTTAAAGGTAGGTATTTGGAAAACTTACATATCTTCGTACAACTAGGTAATACTTTAGAGCAGAGAGAGAATACATATTACAGGATACTATGTCATACTGTAGTCTTACCAATTATTACTTATTTGGGGATATCTTCTAAAACCTTCTAAAAATCTATAGTTTTAGATGTTATACTTCAGAGTTTTTTATAAAGCCCCTTTCAACTGAGTTCTTAGAAAAGATCATAAAAAGTGAGGTAAGCACAGTGTGTACATGCTTGAACATACTATGAAAATGCCAGTCAGTTTCCTTTTACAGTTTGTGATATAATTAAATAGGAACTACAAGATTGAGACAGGTAATGTTTAAGAACATGTGCCCATATTGCGTTGAAAGAAAGGAGCTAAAAATATGAAAACAAGTATGAATTACTTGGTTATATCCTATTTTTGAAACTTCTGAATTGTAAAACGGACAGAAAGAATCCCCAGATTTGGCAGTCAAGGCTCTTTTTACATTCATAAATTGAGTGAATTTTTTCTTTTAAAGATTTTATTTATTTAAGAGAGAGAAAGCACATGGGGGAGGAGCAGAGGGGGAGGGGAAAGAATCTTCACCAACTCCGCATTGAGTGTGGAGCCTGATGCAGGCTTGATCTCACAACACTGAGACCCTGACCTGAGCCGAAACCAAGACTGAGCCACCCAGGCGCCCCTCAAAGTTGACAAGAAGTACCGAGTGTTTATTTGGTATTCATATTTACAATTTAAATCCGTGAGGCAGAACTGTGTTGCTCTTACCCAGGCAGTTAGTCATTCATTACTCCATGATGGCTTTTTATGTAACAGGTACTATGCTAACTGCTACAGATAACCATATGAGTTACTTTTCTTGCTTATAAAGAGCTTGTGTTCTGGAAATAAAATTGCAGTGTGACAAGATGAACAACTGTTCTTTGTTTCTATTACCTTCATTCAACAAATCTGAGGACAAAACACTATGCTAAATATGTTGGTAGCACGTGACTTAATGAATGACTACCTGGTTCTTTTGTCCAAGGCATTCAATAAAATTCATAAGGCAGGGCCTTTGCTGAGGAAATAAGTGTTTTATCCTTTGACTTTGCTTCTATAACAACTTTCCTTGTCAGTTTTTCCCGAGTACTAGTTTGTCAGCTTAAACTGAACGGGAGTTTGTAAGAAGAATATTAGAAGTTACTGTTTATCATTGGGAACCCTCCCCACTCCCATTTTCCTATAAAAGCAAAGTGCCTGTGGAGGTAACAGTCTGTTAAATAACTGACCCAACTGGGTGAAACTCACAAAAATTGTAACTCTCTATTAAAGGTATCTGTAACAGCAGATCCAGGTACAGTGTAGCAGGCTTGTGCTCCAAACATAGTAATTCATCCAGCTGCATTTATAAAAAGTCTTCCTCCAAGCCCAAATTTTTTTCAGTGCGAGCATTATGTCCAGGATAGCACTGTTCTTGTTGGGAAAAGTGAAGTTCCTTCTTTTGTGCCTACTCTTTTTAGATGTGATTGATCCTTAGATCTTGCAGATCCTCTTCTCCTCACTCTCAACTTCCTCTCTGTCTCCACTGCTGCTACTCTAGTGTGGGTTTGGGTTCTCTCATGCCGATATCCCTTCTCTTGTAGTCAAGCTGAGCTGTTTGAAAACCCTGAACAGTCCTCTGAAATTCATTCCCCTTATACTCTTCATAAACCTATATTGTTGGCTAAAAATAAGTTCATGTGGGGTGCCTGGGTGGCTCAGTCGTTAAGCGACTGCCTTCAGCTCGGGTCATGATCCCAGGGTGCTGGGATCAAGCCCCGCATCGGGCTCCCTGCTCGGCGGGAAGCCTGCTTCTCCCTCTCCCATCCACCCACACCCCCCCCACTTGTGTTCCCTCTCTCGCTGTGTCTCTCTCTGTAAAATAAATAAATAAAATCTTTAAAAAAAAATAAAAATAAAATAAAAATAAGTTCATGTTTCTTAGTTTGACATTCAGGGCTTTTTTTTTTTTTTTCCACATTCTGATCTCAGACCGTCTCTGGTTTCTCTTGCTGGAAGTCTTTGCTATTCTTGCTGTTCTTCAAAAATTCTGCTTTATTAGCAACCCTCCTCTTTTATGAATTCTACCCATTCTTTTCAGCTTGCCTCAAGCATGGCCTTTTTTAAGGCTTTGTTTGCTCATATAGTGATCATTCTTCTCTTCACTTAGTCAATAGTTTATTTGTTAAATGAATGCCTGATCTACTAGGTGCTAGGGATACAATGATGAATACAGTCCTTCATGAGTTTATGGCCAGTAGACTTTCTAGTGCTCACTTAACATGTACTTAAGTATGGGGGCGCCTGGCTGGCTTAATTTGGATTCGTGAGTTCGTGCCCCACATTGGGTGCAGAGATTACTTAAAATAAAATCTTTATTTAAAAAAAAAACAAAAACATTTACCTAACTGTGGAAGGTAGTATGTAATATTGGACCAGTCACTAGCACAACCTCTAGCCTATTCATTCATAGTCTCAAATGTTGAATTGCAAGTATTTTTTGTTACCAAATAGTAAATTCCTTAAGGGATAACAGCTGCTAGCTTTAGCTTTGATTTGTTTAATTCATCCTCAAAATTTAATTTCCCAGTATTAGCTATGACAGTGTGCCAATCAGAAAAGGTATAAAGAGCATGTTTTCCTCTGACCACTTGAATTCTCATCACATTAGAGTTAATAACCATATTTTCACTAGTTTCCCAACTAATGTCAACATAAGTTATCTCTAGATTTGATTAAATTGTCCAGAAAAGAAAGTTCTTGTACCATGTATGGATTTATGCAATATGTGAAATGTTCTAAATATTGATTAGAAAGAGTGACTAGCACTTACTGACTTGGACCCATTCTTCAGGTAAAAGGTGATATCTTCTGACATCAGTACTAATTGTACTAATATTTTATTTACAGGTATTCTTCCAGAGAGCAAAGCCCTAAGGACTGGATCTCCCTGTGCCTACTTTATGATCAGGAATTCCAGTTAATTTATAAAGAAGCAGTTTTGTGTGCCATTCACACTGGTTTTTTTAACATTGCTTTAAGCTTATTGCAGTATATGTATTGGGATTTTTCTGTAAAATGGGTGTAATTTTCTCTGAATACAGGTATGTAACAACAAGAGAAGTTGCTTGCATGCCAGTTCAAATTGTTCCATATAAAAATGCTGTTAAGAGATACAGCACGGTTATCCTAGTACCTTTTTTTTTTTTTTACGTTAAATCCTTGAAACGTTAAATCCTTTATAAAGACCATAGCCGGAAAACAGTGTACTTTTTTTCAATTGCTAAATATAAAATGTTTGAAAATTTTAATTTTCTTTTACGTGTGCCGTCTCAAAATTTGGGGGGGAATATAATAAATCAAAACTAATTTTTTGTAGATAGCCATTACATTTCTTTAAACTGTTTTCGATGCCAATGTGTGTTCTACAAAAGAGAATGGTTTCATAAATTAACTGATTTAAGAGTAGGTACCGGTGTTACACACTTTTTATAAAAAAATAAAAATAAATTTTACATAGTGAAATCTAAGTCTTTTTTGGCATTATTATTATAAATACTTTAGTCTTATTTTCTCATCTCTCCCTGATTTCCCATTTAAAGAATTGTATATATAAGCTTATAGATGATTTATCTATGCTCCCAAAAGGTGACATGCAACTTAGTTCTCTTCAGTTCTTTTTAAAATGCCTAAAAAAGCCTATTTCAATCTAGTGATAGAACTTAAAGTCCACTTTTTCCCTCTTTTACTGGATTTACTTAGGACACTATACCTATGTGTTAATGATGCTTACAAGTAGCTACCCATTTAGTTACTAGAAGTACTTTTTCCCATTTTTATTCACAACTCTGTAAGAAAAGCAAGAGGAAAAATAATAGTATCAGTAAGTATATAAGAAATTAAGAGAGGAGGGATAAACTGAACAGCAGAATTAAACTGCTACAGTCATTGGGGAGGGTATGTGTTGTAATGAGCACTGGATACTATATAAGACATGAATCACAGACCTGTGCCCCTGAAGCAATGCATTCTATGTTAATTGAATTAAGAAAGAAAGAAGAAGGGAAAAAGAAAGAAATTACTACAGTCATTAAGTTTAAATTCTAAAAGCTCAAGTAAGATTTTAGGGGAGGGTTGTTGTTTTTTTAACCTTTGGCCCATGTGGTTCCCCTAAAGGTTTCATGATGGGTTTCAGTGATCTATATAACTCCCTAAAACTATTCTAAATTATATACATAAATCTTTTCTCATGTTAATTCCAGTAGTGATTTTAAACATTTTCCTTACATCGTAGAATAAAAGTACTAAACTAACGGTTAGTTTAAAAAAAAAAGGTGGGTGAAATGTATATTATGCTTAAATAAAAATGTTAAGAAGAGGTAAGTGAGGGGGACCTAGCTGGCTCAGTTGGGTAGAGCATAGGACTCTTGATCTCAGGGTCATGAGTTCAAGCCCCACCTTGGGCATAGAGCTTACTTTTTTTTAAGATTTTTATTTGAGAGAGCATGAGCAGGGGGAGGGGCAGCGGGAGAGGGACAAGCAGACCCTGCTGAGCACAGAGCCCGATGTGGGGCTGGATCCCAGGACGCTGAGATCATGACCTGAGCCACCCAGGCACCCCCATAGAGCTTGCTTTAAAAAAAAAAAAAAACTTTCTAAAAAAAAAAAAAAGGAATACCTGGGTGGTTCAGTCGGTTAAGCATCCTACTCTTGATTTCGGCTCAGGTCATGATCTCGGGGTGGTGAGATCGAGTCCCACGTCAGGCTCTGCGCTAAGTGTAGAGCCTGCTAAGATTCTCTCTCTCTCTCCCTCACCCCTCACCCCTGCTCGCTCACAAGTGTTCTCTCTCTAAAGAAAAATAAAATGGGTATGTGAAAGCTTGAGTGTTTCATTGATCAGTTTCTCTGTACAGTGGGAAAGATCATTGCATCTAGTGCAATAGCACTGTTTTTTCAAAGTATACTAACAAGTCAGCATAGTGCCTAAGAGCTAAGACAGGCTGCAGATTTAAGAAGGTTCAGATAACATTTCTGCTAGCCACTGGCTTTAAGATATTTAAGTAAGTTAAATAACTTCTCCATACCCACTTCCACATCTGTAAAATGGGGAAATAATGGTAGCTACCTCACAACCAAGTTTTTAAGCATGAATAGCTTACTAAAGTACCGGAGCATGAAGGCTTCTTACTAGCTATGGTCACTGTACTATTAGTTACATATATGTAAAGATGACTCCTCCTTTTTCCCTGTTTAAAGCTCTTCAAGAGATTCATGTATGTTCAGAGCCAAGAGAAAACAAGACATGGAAATTAAGAGTCTGCAATAGAAGATACACTTCATGTTCTATAGTCATGTACAATTCCCATCTTTCCCTGAAGTTACCCAGAGCACTTTAGAGAGTACCATAGCAATTAGGAAACTCTGCTTCATCATGAATTACTTACTTGTATTTAGTTTCCAAAAACAAGCACCCAAATAATTGTCACAAGAGTGACTCTCACCTCTTGACAGGTGAGGTCACTGAGGCAAAAGACAGGGATTTGTATAACTTGACTATGGAACAACAAGGGTTTTATAATGCCTGGTTTAGTTCTGTGCCAAACAGTTTATTTAAAGTCTTAAATGTTAATGTTAATTGGTTCACAAGCAGCTCTACCTTTAAGAAAATACCTGGTATTTCAGTGGTAAATATGTGAATCAAGTCCTTTGGCTCAGCTAATTACATTTTTTCCCATAAAACTTTTGAGCTGTAAGTCTTAACTGTTATAAGGAACCTGGACAGGTCCCCTTCTTGGCATTAGATACAGGATTGAAATTGGTTGGAATTGTAAGCAGTAAATAGATTTGTTGTTAGAATGGTTCCATCTAACATTGGTTAATTAAATGGTTCCATTTAAGCATTGTTCAAAGTCTAATAAAATAACTTCCTTTGTAACAACGCATTACTGTGGACTTGTTATCTCCATTGTGCATAGGACACAATAGACCTGGGGGGGGGGACGTGCTTAGAGTCAGTATTTGGTGGGGACAGTTGGGACTGCAACTCCAGATCTGTTCCATTCAAAAGCCTCTGGTTTCCTATTTCATCTGGTTGCTGTAGTTCTCAACTGGGAAGAATTCTTCCTCTTCGTCTCTAAGTTTAGCCCTGAATCAGCCCGAGTCTGTGACCCCTCAGTATGTTGAGAAAGGCTGCAGTGCAGTCCGTGGGCAGAAGGGATCACTCTAGGGAGTAGCTACTCTTGAGATCTCGGCGGCACGAATATTTCAGGACCTGATTTCAGTCAAGTTCTCCAATACTGCCATTTTCCAAAATACCGTGGAAAGAGGGAATTAAGACAACGTTCACTCCGGACTTCCTCACTCCACAACGCCAAAAAAAAAAAAAAAAAGTAAAAAGGAATTAAATGAGCTTATTTACATTAAGAATTTCACGTCTGGATTATTCTGAGGCGATCATGGGACTCCACTGCAGCCAACACAGCCTTTAAAACAGTTACAGATCTATCCCTCCAGACTATGATATTCCCCAGTGACAGCCTCGCACGTGTCCAGCATTCTGCACACCTGTGACTATTAGAATGTTTGCAATCAGGAGTTCAATGTCTGTCTTCTCCACTATCATCGCACGCCGTACCCTGTCGTTGGCTGTCGAGGACGGGGCGGGATTTGCAGTTCTAGGAATCCGAAACTGCTCACTGCGCAGGGCTCCCTAGCTTCACGTTTAGAGTGAGGGAGGGACAGGCAGAGGGTGTGGACCAGGTCGGACTCCAGACAGCCCCCAGCCTCCCCGCCCCCCGCTACGGAGAACTGGAAGCCAGCCGCCGCACCAGCCCGGGCGGCAGGATAGGCGGCGGAGGCCGAGGCTGGTCCGGCGGGCGTGCGCACGCGCACCCGCGCGCGCCGGCCGTCGGTCACGTGGCCCCCGGCCAGGGCTCGCGAAGCCGGAAGTGTCCCGGGGCTCAAGGAGGCCGCGGGAGCCCGCTGGAGGTAGTGCGACGGAGACCGGGCGCGGTAAGTGGGGCGGCGCGGGCGCAGGGCCCGAGCTGCGTGGGGCACGGGCAGCGAAGCCGGCATGGGCCGGCGAGGAGCGCTCCCTGCCCCTGTGGGAAATTGGGATGCTGAGTCAGAGCGGGGGCGGGGCGGGCGACCCGAGAAGCCCAGCACTAGCCTAGGCCGAGCCCTGCCCGGACCTTGGCCGGGTGGACGCCGCCCCCCGGGGGTCTGGGGCGCCCGAAACCCGGTGGAATGGTCGCGCGGGCCGGTCCCTTCCGTCTCTACTCCTCGCCCCCTGGGCGGCCCTGTGACCGGGGCCCTCCCGGGTCAGCGTATAGCGATGTTAGGCACGAAGAAAGAGGACGTGCCCGTTACCGGGTATGGGCCCTGGCCGCCCCGGAGAGACGGATTCCCCGTTTTTCTTAAGAGTTTGACCGCTTTCTACCCCTCTTTATGAGCGTTGACACTATCGGCAGTGTTTAAATGGTTCGATTTTTCAGATGATTGAAGAGACGTTTCGTTAGGGTTTTAGTGATGACAACGGCGGGGATTGACTAACCGGAAGCTGGAAGCAGAGGACGTCTATTAGTATACACACATATAATGGGAATTCCCAAACATTTCCTTTGGGAAATGGCTTACGGGTTTATCTTCCAGTCCGTTTCCCAGGTATTTTCAGTAGGTGGCCTCAAAACAAGGTCTACCCGTTAATTGTCCAGCGCAGAACCGAAGACCCACTTTTTTCACTCTAGAACACTTAATTATTAACATAGTGGTGAAGTTTGGAAATCCTTGAACTTTGTCCATATGCCTGTCATCAAACCTGTTTTCATCTGTGGACAAATAGTAACTTTCGTTTTGGACAGTATGAGGAAGTAGGCTTAAGGCAGTCACTAGTAACATACTTGTTGAGTGCCTGCCTATAGTGTATCAAAATTTGGTGAAGATTTATAAAGCAAACACCTTGTGGATGTGCTGAGTCATGTTTTAGCATGCTGTTGTTGTGGGTTTATTGGAAGATAGTTTCAAAAGACGTTTCCCCCTCATCATTGTGAAACTAGGCTTATATCTTCATATAGAAAGCAGATATCTTAGCTGAAAAATGTGCTTATATATTATTCACTAGATACGTGTAGGTACCTAATGACACTGTTTTACATTTACAGTTAGCACACAGTAATTAGGGAAGGTTTTTCATTATTGAAAAATATTTGGAAATATTGAAAAGATAATTGAGAAGTTTATTATTATTAACCTCAGCTGACAGATGTGTATTCCTTACTTGTCAAAAGTGGATCTTATTTTTATTGCTTATTTCCAATAAATTTCTGTAGATAACATTCCTTATCTAAACTAGATGGGTGGTAAAATTAGATATCTTAGTATGTAAGATTGTTGAAAATTGGCCATTCTTTATGTTCCTAATCCTTCTTGGAATAATGTAGTCATTAATTCATCACTGAATACCTAATCTGTTCTAATGGACTATAAAGGGATATCAGGATCTGTTTTGATCTGATATTACAGCAGGT